CTCTTAACGTTTCATAGTAAGAAAACGCAACGTCATTTCAGCTACATTCAATCAAGAGTATAAATGTTTTAAAAAGTCCAAGAAAAAATCTGAGTCTATAAAGTATAAACACACACATATCACCAAACACATACACAAAAGTTTTTAGAAATGGGCAAGTCTTAACATGTCTCCTTCTTCCTTACAACATGTAACACTGCACTGTCTTAGCCATACGTTGAAGAGAAGCGACAAATTAAAAGTCAACCCATACATGGCATACGTCTTCGTACCGGCATCAGCTCCATACGACAACGAGTTCAACGACCCATCTCTCTACACGTGGACGTCGATGACTACAAGCTGCTGAAACTACGGAGATAAGTCATGTTCAGAACATAAGCAGAGGAAGAAGACTTGGACCTCATATATATGGTCAAAATTTGGAAAAAGAAGAAGCAATCTTAGGAATTTTTTCTCATTAACAAAATAACAATTAAAAATGACACAATAAATGTTTCTGTACTTTGGATTGGATATAGCATCCTGCATCCCCAAACGTTGGACCGAACCTGGTTGGAGAGAAGCTCATTACAGCTCAGAGGATGAAGTTGATCAAAGATTAGATTGTAATTCGAAAATTGATAGAGACAACAAAGAAGTGCGTGAATAGAGAGTCTTGTGCTTCCACCCCGTACTATTCAGTTGGCATTGATCAATCTACTATATGTCAATTGATTTTATCTACAAATTGGTTAAGTTATACGTTAGAATATGCAGGACCTCTATTTTTACATGTTTTTAGCGGATTCTGTTCGCCGATCATCCCTAAAAATATCATTTACCATGAAATGTAAGGCAATAGACATAACACACGTAATTCATTTAGATTTAGGTTCATTTTATAACTCTCGCATAAATCAATATGATTACCACTTTCGTTATTTCCGCAAAACAAATTAAAGAGGTGAGGAATACTCCATGCAGCAAGAAAGATATACCATAATTGAAACCCAAGACGAAGTCATACATAACAAATGACTCGACAAAATATCCTAGTCATGCATAACAAATGAGTCAACTAAATATAATCTCATTGTGAATATCTGACACAAGAATATAATTATGTGCTTTTTCCTAATTTTTAATCTGAAGTCTTAGAGCGGAGGGCCAATCACATTATTTTAGGATAAAAACAAAATTAGCTTACTATTTACTATTTTAGTATCAAGTATACCAATCATAACATCCAATCATCCATATTCACACACAAAATACATATGAAAATATAGATTACAAAACTATCATATAAATTTTTCTATATTTTTGAAATAATCTTATAACTTTTTCACTTCCTCATGGAAATACATAAATTTTGGAACTTCTGCGATATATATGTTAGAAGTTATTGCCATTTTTGCAAATAAAAGATTAAATATTCCATTTATGTTCTGAAGTCCAAGTGATTTAATTCAGGCCTAACTCATACGTTACCAAAAAGTTGAATATGGTAAATGGAAACGAACATTAATATTAGATGATCACAATTCACAAGTCTTATAGTATGAAACTAATCCAAAGAATCTTAGCCAGAAAAAGGAAGAAGAAAAGATTCCGAAACCTGAACACATTTTTCTAAAAAAATTCTTAAAGTCAAACAAATAATAAGCATAATTTTGGTCGACAGAAAAAGCAAAAATTCAGTGATTAAGCAAAAAAGTTGTGTAATTAACATCTGTACTATATTAGCAACTTTTTTTTTTTAACCGAAGTCGCAAGTGACGCTGTGAAACCTTGTGCTTCACTGTCATGCACTTTGTCAGTTTCCGTCGGGCATCGCGAGAAAAAAAAAAAAACTGTCGAAAAACAAAAAAAAAGTTTCTCTTTTTCAGTTTTCTCTTTCCGATTTACTATTCTCTTGTTCTTCGTTTGGATTCCTGGGTATCTCTCTCTCTAGAGAAACTATCACACCGTTTCGATTCTTCCGCCAAACTCTCGCCGTCGGGTAAATTTTTTGCCGGCGACCCATTAAAGTGGAAGAGCTTATCTATACTCGATTTCTTTAGTTTGAGTGTCTTAGTTAAAAAGTGACTTCCTGTCTGGGAATTATCTGGTTTCGGTTCTTGCAATTTTTCGGTGGTTGTTTGGTAGCTGTGGAAATTTCTGTGTCTGGGTTTGTTTGTTTCTGTTTGTGAGTTTTTGTTGCTAACTAGGTTTTTGGGTTTGGTTTGATTTATTGAAAGTTGGGAATAAAGGAGACGAATAAAAAAAAAGAGGAAAGTGTTTGATGTTTTGCATCTGATTCTGAATCGAAGTCATCATTTTTATTAGGAGTAAAGTTTGGAAGATTAGTAACTTTCCTTGGAGTGAGATTTTCTGGGTTTTCTAGGGTTTATTTTGATTGAATTTAGTAATGGCGGAGTCTACTGGGGTGGATCGTGGGATTCAGAGCTTGATAGCTGCAAGAAAGTCTTTAAAATTGAGTCTTGAGAAATCAAAAGCCATTGGGTTAGCTTTGGGTAAAACTGGGCCTAGGTTTGAGGAGATTGAGCAGAGATTGCCGTTGCTTGAAGCTGCGGTGAGGCCGATACGAGCTGATGGAGAAGCTCTTAAGGATGTTGGTGGTAACATTAACCGAGCTGTTGGTCCTGCAGCCGCGGTGCTTAAGGTGTTTGATGCTGTTCATGGACTTGAGAAGTCTTTGTTATCAGATCCCAAGAACGATCTTTCGAGTTATTTATCGGTATTGAAGCGGTTAGAGGAAGCTTTGAAGTTTCTAGGGGAGAATTGTGGGTTAGCTATCCAGTGGTTGGAAGATATAGTTGAGTATCTTGATGATCACCATGTTGCTGATGAGAAGTATCTTTCGAATTTGAAGAAATCTTTGAGAGGGCTTAGTGAATTTCATAATGACGGTGGAGGAGTAGAAGAGAAAGAGAGATCTCAATTGCGTCTTGATGGTGGGCTTAGGAATGCTGCTTTAGATAAGCTGGAAAACGAGTTCAGGAGGCTCTTGAAGGATAACAGTGTACCACTTCCTATGGCGTCTCCATCATCACTCGGTGATCAGGCTTGCATTGCACCGTCTCAGCTGCCTGTAACTGTAATTCATAAACTGCAAGCCATTCTTGGGAGACTCAGAGCTAATAATAGACTCGACAAGTGCATTTCAATATACGTTGAAGTGAGGAGCTTGAATGTTAGAGCTAGTCTTCAAGCACTTGACTTAGATTATCTAGATATCTCGGTTTCTGAGTTCAACGATGTGCAGAGCATAGAAGGGTATATAGCTCAGTGGGGGAATCATTTAGAGTTTGCGGTTAAGCATCTGTTCGAAGCAGAGTTCAAGCTTTGCAACGATGTCTTTGAGAGACTCGGTTTGAATGTTTGGATGGATTGCTTTTCTAAGATTGCTGCTCAGGCCGGTATGCTCGCGTTCCTTCAGTTTGGGAAAACTGTGACTGATAGCAAGAAAGATCCAATCAAGCTTCTGAAGCTGTTAGATATTTTTACTTCGTTGAACAAACTGAGAGCAGATTTCAACCGTCTCTTTGGCGGAGCAGCCTGTATTGAGATCCAAAACTTCACAAGGGATCTCATCAAAAGGATAATCGATGGTGCAGCGGAAATCTTCTGGGAGCTTCTGGTTCAGGTAGAGATTCAGAAACAAACCCCGCCTCCTAGCGATGGTGGTGTTCCTAGATTAGTCAGTTTTGTAACTGATTACTGCAATAAACTTATTGGAGATAAGTACAAGTCAACACTAACTCAGGTTCTGCTCATACATAAGAGCTGGAGATCAGAAAGGTTCCAAGATAATCAGCTTATGGTTGAGGTTTTAAGAATAATCAAAGCCATTGAGCAGAATCTGGATGTATGGATGAAAGCGTATCCGGATCAAACGCTTGCGCATTTCTTCGGTATGAATAATCACTGGCATTTATACAAGAACTTAAAGGGTACAAATATTGGGGATCATTTAGGAGATTCGTGGCTGAAAGAACATGATCAGTACAAAGAGTATTACGCCACTGTCTTCCTTAGAGACAGTTGGGGTAAGCTTCCAAGCCACTTGAGCCGAGAAGGGCTGATACTTTTCTCGGGTGGACATGCCACGGCTCGTGATCTTGTGAAGAAGAGATTGAAAGCATTCAATGATGCGTTTGATGAGATGTATAAGAAGCAAGCATCATGGGTCTTACCAGAGAAAGATTTAAGGGATAGAGTTTGCCAGCAGATAGTTCAGGCTATTGTGCCGGTTTACAGAAGCTATATGCAAAACTATGGGCCATTGGTTGAGAAAGACGCGAGTTCAAGCAAGTATGTGAGATACACAGTGGTAGCTTTGGAGAAGATACTCAGTTCTCTTTACATGCCTAAGCCCATGAGATATGGAAGCTTCAAAGCAACACCGCCGAGTGAGAAATTCAAGAATGATGTTGACCTTAGGCGTACTACTTCCGCGGTTGTCTGATTGAAGCCATGTTCTGTTCTCGAATGTTGTATTAAAATGTGTCCACATTGGTATGATCTCCATCTCCTGGAAGAAGAGGTATTGTTACACGTATATAAATACTGTCAATCAGGTATAGCTTTTAGTCATTGGTCAAGTCCCTTTAGTTCATTAGTTTCATAAGACTTCATGTTAGGGACCAAGCGGGTTTAGATTATTCTATTTAATGTGTTAATCTGAAAAACAGGATTATAAAATGTGGGAATCCTATAATATTGAAAGAAAAATTGTCCCTATAAATCTTCTTGTTCTCAGTGTTGTGCTACATTTGTAACTTTTATTAATTTTAAGACAATAAAGGAAAATTCAGCAAAACCATTTTCTCTGTTCTTTCTTTATTTTTTATTGCTCAAGTCGCTATTTGGTTTACAATTCAAGAGAAGCCGAAAATCTAACCGGAATCTGAATTTCGGATAAGTGGCTAGGAAGAATCCAATCTGCAACCTACTTACTCTTTTGGACTTCTTAGCACTTGATATGAAGTTGTTTTGCTCGTTGGCTGTAAAAATAGATTTGCAAGAAAGAGCTTCTAGTTATAGTCTTATAGATAAAGTAATTACAGTAATGATGAAGTCAAAGAGACAAAGACCAAAAGAAAACATATGTATACACAATTCGACCATATATGTAATGTCTCGCTAACAATTCTGTACACATCTCTCAAATGTCCTCTTTTGTCATTTGGATTCTGCAGCTTTAAACAACTCTCGCCATTGCTGTGGATCACTTCCTGGACCATCCCCCTGAAACCACATTTCTCAAACATATAAAAAAATGGCAATCAAATCTTTGAAACATTTTCAATGATCAACTAAAGCTTTGAATCTCCAGGACACCCCTTAAGACATTGTTTCTTCATCAGACTACATTTCCACTTTGTTCAAATTTCAAGGAAACTGTTTGCGATACCTTAACTGAATTGATCTCGTAAGCTTTGCCTTGTGTGAATTCTATATCAAGTGCCTGTATGCAAGCTTCAGCCACTACAAGTCTACTTACCTCTCCAACAAGTTTGTCCCCTGTTAAAAGGAGCCATTATGTAAATCAAGCAATCTCAAAAATGTTAGTGCTGCAAGACCATCAAAGAATCTCAAATTTACCTTGACCAATAACAACTGCACGCCTTTCACCAGCTGTAGCTTTGAGCAAAGTATTCAGATCATAAGATGTGTATGGTCCATCAGTCAATCTACCAGGTCTGGTATGAAAACATCACATTACAGTAAATCAGTAAACCATATGATGCCTGCGTTTTGGAGTATTAAGAGCAAAAAAAGTGGGTAACTCTTTTGTTCCAAACCTGATAATGGTGAATGGAAGACCAGAGTCACGAAGAAAATCTTCCCCCATCTTCTTGTATTTAAGAACTCCAAAAAGGTTCATGATGCTGTCAAACAAAACATACATTCAGCATATAAACTACACGTAGAGACAATCGGACTAAAGTAAATTAGCGGAGATACTCTAGTCTCACCTCCAGGGTAGCTCATTAGACTTGGTCACACCTACTGATGAAACCAAAACAACTCTCTTCACCGATGATGGCAATGCTGAAATGAGATTCTTCACACCTTCCCAATCTTTTTGAACACAAAAAAAAACACATAGTCCCAAAAAGGAAAATCGATCATGACATGTAAGAAAGAATTGATTACAAAACAAGACATCTAACGTTCTTAATTGGAAAGAAATGTGTTCTCACCTACTTTCTCAGGAGTGTTTTCTTCATTCCACCTCTTAGAAGGAAAAGCTGTAGTTCCAGTGGTACAAATCACATGTGTGACACCCTAGACAAATCAGTTAAAAATCAAATGAAGAACAAGTGAAACTCGTGCCAAACAAAACAGGAGCAAGAAGACGAACCTCAAACATGGATGGATCAAGATCCTCTGCATTCCTAGTATCCCCTTTAACTACCTATAACAACCTGGTTTAAACTTGTTGAATAAAAAGAACAAGTAGTGAATCTGAAATAAAGTGAGATAAAGTCCGAACCTGCAAGGAATATTCATCTTGTTTGCCAAATAACTTGGTAGCTTTGTCAAGATCACGCAGTAATAACCTTGATCTTATATTCCTCTTGAGCAATGAAGCTACCAAAAGTTGACCTGATACCAAAAAGGATAAGACTTTAAAACAATTGGATAGAGGCTACGCAGAATTGACCATCATTCAGCAGACCCAATAGTGAGAAATTATTAGTCCTAATTTCAAAATTGAACATTTAAGTACCTACACCACCAGTGCCGCCAACGACAAGTACAAGCTTTGAAGAAGAAGAAGCTAAATCCGAAGTATCGACGGCTTCTTCTGTAAAAGCTTGGACTGGCGTGATTGACGAAGATAAAGATGCTTCATTTCTAACCAGGAAGAAAGAAGATGGGAGTGTCAGGGGGGACGTAAACAGAGGGTTTCTGATTTGGGATCTTGTAGCGGCAAAACGGGAGTAAGAGGGAGGAGCGAAGCTGAGATTGGTGGTGGTAGCCATGAATGGTCAAGCGAGCTTAGATAATTTTAAGGAGAAGCCATTATTTAATTTGTTCATTCAAAATCAAATAATTTTGTTCATTCAATTGGTGCGTTTTTTTCCTTGTATTGGGCCTATGGCCTTGTGGGCTTTGGCCCTGTAATGGTTTTAAATAAAAAAAACGTGTTCATTCAAAATCAAAGTATAAAACAAATGAATAAAATGGTTTTCTGCAAAAAAAAAACCCTCCAAGTCAATCTCGTTTGCAAATTTATCCTCGAAATCCGAATTATGCAAGTCAACCTCACCATCTCTAAAGTCACCTGCAATACAACCCTCTCGTGTATCGATGATGTGGCACTCGATAACTCCGTTTGAAAACATGAGGATTTTGTGCAAAAAAACCCTCAATATAATTATTTTTTGTAAGATAAACCTTCATGTCAAATAAATACAGGTCAAACTACAATCTGAAAAATCTCCTGCAACATAACCCTTCTGTGTATCGATGATGTGACAGTCGATAACTCATTTTAGAGCATGTGCAATGGATAGAGGTTTATGAGTCGTTTATTTAAGGTGCAATGTGCAATGGGTAAACACTAAAACTTAATTAAATGATAACCGTAAGTTTAAATAAAATAAAAAATTAAATTTTTGAATCGATAACTGTAACTAACCAAAATTTTATCAGATTCGTTCTAGTTCGTTTTTTTTCTTCAAAATAACTAAAATTGACCAAATTTAACCGAAATTAACAAAAAAAATACAAAGAACAAAATATTAGAAAGAAAATCAAAATTTGGTTTTATTTTGTAAAAGAGTATTTAATTTTGACAAAAATAACTAACAATATTTGGATATTTTTATAATTTAAAGTATTTGATTGTTTTTCTAAAAATAATTAATATTTTGAGTTTATAATTATAGTTAATGGATATTTTTTAAGTTTCTGGATATTTTTGGTTATCGGTTCGGTTTTATTTTATTTAAAACTTAAATCAACAACTCAATTAAATTATATGCATTAAAGTAATATATTCGATAGACTTATAAAATCTCTAAATGAGTTGTCGACTGTGACGTCATTGATACACGGAAGGACTATGTTGTAGGAGATTTTTCAGATTGTGGTTTAACCTGTGTAAGAAATTAATTGCATAGTCTAATGTCTAACTAAAACTGAAAAAATACATATTATAGTATTTGTTTTTCACAACACTTACATATCAAACATTAAACAATGTGATTTCATCTTCATCTACAATAGTGTTTACTCTTTATATTTCTCTTTTTATTACTTTGCTATGTTAATTTTGTGATGTAAACTCCGCTCTTCTAAAAAATGAACTTATTAGTGTACTTTAAATATGTTTTTTTTTTTTGCTGATTTTTTCTGTTAAAAGCATTTGATTGAATCTCCAACGTTTTTGTTTCAAATTATGGATGATTTTTTTTTCTTAACCGGCTTACATATCAATTTTATATATTTTATTGTATTACTCATGAATAATATAACTATTGATTATTATTATTTTTTATTAAATTTCACAAAAAAAAGGTGAGCTAAGAATTATTACTATCTTAAAATAAAATTGGGGAGTTTAGTAATCTCTTAATTTTTAAATTAAAATTGGTGAGTTTAGCAATCTCTTAATTTTAAGTGAAAATTTAGTAATAAATAAAATCTCTTTGTAGTCAATTCTCTTTAAAAATTAATCTCTTCCATTTATGGGCCTTAGTCAACATGTCCGTTAGGCTCAATTATAATGCAATAATATGAGATGCAGGCCTATACAATATGATGCGTACTTTTTTCATCTGGCCTCATTTAAAGTGTTCACCGGTACCGGAACCGGAACCGGAACCGGAAAAACCAGTCACTATAGATAGTATAAGTAGGGGTTATTGGATTATTGATTTGAATAGAATTAGAAATCCTTATAACATTTGGAAATTCACACATAATTCACTGATTTTAAAATCAAATAATGTGGATTTGAAAATCAAATAAAGTTGATTTTAGGAGGGGTTATTGGTTCATAGATTTATATGGAATTAGAAATCCAAACAAAAATCATTTGTTATTCAATCATTGATTTTAAAATCCTAATTAAATTCATGTGTTATTGGTTCTATGATTTATAAATACTAGTTAAAATCTTATGTTATTCGTTTAGTCATTTGTTTTTGGATTTGAGAATCCAAATTATGTTTTAAATGGAATTGAATGGAATTGAAAGAGAAAAATAGAAGGATTCAAATCCATGGGTAAACACATGTTATTTCAAAATCCATATATCTTGATTTCATAATTAATAGAAATTTTCAAATTCTATATGGATTTACAAATTAACAAACTAGTAAAATGGATTTGAAAATCATAGAAAAGAAATTATAAAATTTTAAAACATGAAATTTTTTATGATAAACAAAATAACCTATCATGTTCTCATCTATGAACTCTGAATTGAATCACTCTACATGTTTGATGCTCTTGTTTCTCTCCACTGATTGTTCTCTCCACACATATGGGAAGATATCAAAGAAGTCCATAATTTGGAAAAAAAAACGTTCGTTACGATGCGGTTAAAGTGATTCACCAATTAGGAATGAAAGAAGTCTTTGTTAGTATGTCCACTAATGAGCGTCATGATTGGATTAAGCGTAACATTATGGAATGCTAGATTAATTATTTTTTTGTTTTCTAGTATTGTTAGTTTTCTAGAATTTTTCTTCTAGCCTTGTTTGGTTTCGAAAACTACCCTTTGTTTTCTAGTATTTTTTATTTTTATTATATGATAAAATATACTTTTATATGAAGGTGTTTCATGATCTTTGGTATTAGCAGTTTTTTTTTTGTGATTGATATGCTTGAAAGTATTATACGAAGATTTTTCGTGATTTTTGTATTAGCAGTTTTTTTTTTTTCTTTTTAATATTCAAAACATTGCTCTACATCATACTTGCATTATGGAAAATAAAAACTACTAATATTTTTTTTTTCAAATCCACCCAAATAACTAGGTGGAACCCAAGGATTTCAATCTCTCTATTTATAACTAAAACAGATTTTCAAATCCATTCAAATCCAATATGAAATCAAATCCATACTCAAATCTTCAATATTGAATAAGGGGTGATTTTAACTAGTATTTGTAAATCATTGAACCAATAACACATGATTTTTATAAGAATTTTAAAATCAATGATTGAATAACACATAATTTTACTTGGATTTTCAATTCCATTCAAATCAATGATCCAATAAACCCCCCTAAAACTATCAAATCCTAAACCGATCTGGTACAGCGAAGACCTAAACCTAAAGGAGGATATAAGATATAAAACCTAAAGGGTTTGGTTGGTTCCTTTCCCTCTCCCAAAAAAAACTCCGATTATGGCCGGATCTCTAGGTCTTACGCCGGAGTCCTTGAAGGCTTCTGGCCGGATCTCCGAGAAGCTCAGCCTTCCTATCCTTCAGAGCCAAATCAAGCGTGAACCAGAGGGTTACGAAACGGAGGTCCATTTGATTTACAAACAGTTCAGAGCCTCCGTCGATCTCTTGCAGCAACAGGCGGCTCTCACTTTCTCCTCCGTCGGCCCCGGCCCTTCCGTTGCTAAGGAACTCGGCGACCGAGCCATGTTTCTCGCTCATGTCACTCCGTTTTATCCGAACCAGCTCGCCGCTTTTCCAGCTCAATTGACTGATTTACTCCGTACCTCATGCCTGGCAATGCCGTCGGGGCTTCGGTATCAAGTTGCGCAATCTCTGATTCTTCTTATGTATCGAAAGGTATGTTTTTTTTTTTTGTTTTTTTATTACGTGATTGATACGAATTCTGAGATGATTGTAATCGAAAGTAATGTTTTTTTTAATATGTTTGCTTTGGTGTGTGTTAAAGAGTCTTGTCATCGAGGATTTGTTAGCTCTGTTTCTAGATATTCAGACTCTTGGTGATAAAAACTTGCGAAAGCTTGCTTTCTCTCACATTGTTCAAACCATTCGTAAAATGAGTATCACTGATCCAAGGCACAAATCTCTTCAGAAGATTGTTTTCTCTATGTTGGAGGTATTTCTTTTTTCTTTTCCCTTTTCATGGGTTTTTTGTGTAACTGATCAGTGTATAATCAAGTAGATGATTTTTAACTTCGGTTGTAGCAAGAAGATGAAACCAAGGCTAAGAGAGCACTTGTTACCCTTTGTGAGCTTCACAAGAGAAAAGTCTGGTTTGGTGATAAACATGACAGAGTAGCAATTGCCATTTGTGAAGCCTGCTTTCATACTTCACCTAGGTATATCTTCCTAACTGTGCAATATTTTGATATGATTTGGTTGGTCGAATTAACTTCTCTTTTTTTTTTTACATGTTCAGGATCAGGATATCTTCCCTTCGGTTTCTTCTTGACTACGACAACATTAACGATGAGGATGATAGTGATGCTTCAAGCAGCGATGACGAGGATTCAAAGAAAGTATCTCAGGTTGTGTTTAACAGAGAGGCTGTTTACAAGGTAAACAACATATTTATACATGAATTTTGTTAGAGACTATGACGAAAACGCTTACTACTGGTTGTGAAAAGAATTTTCCACCTTCAAATAGTTGTCACTATCATTTTTATCATTATGAATTAAGTATAATACTAGGTCCTGTTTCCGATGTTTAGGCCAACAACAAAGGTACATCTTCTAGCAAGAAGAAAAAGCAAGCAAAACTGCAACGCGCCATGCGAAGTATTAAACGAAAGCAGCGTGCGTCGTCTGAGAACACTACTTCAACTTATTCACCTCTTAATCATCTAAATGATGCACAGGTTCATTTCCTAGCTTTTTTGTAGTGTGTCATTTCCTAGCTTTTTCTATGTGGCTATGTACTTGAATGTTTTTCTTTTTTTACAGAACTTTGCAAAGAGGTTGCTTCGCCGTATTAGGCCTAAGTTTGACAAGAGCAGTGGGAAAACTAATGACAAGAGCAGTGGGGAAACTAATGACAAGAGCAGTGGGGAAACTAATGACAAGAGCAGTGGGGAAACTAATGACAAGAGCAGTGGGGAAACTAATGACAAGAGCAGTGGGGAAACTAATGAACGGCCTGAGGTAATTGTATTTTAACTCGCTTCATCCATTCTATAGAAACATATGAGCTAACTAGCCATGTATTCAATAAATTTTGCAGACCAGGTTGATGATTATAAAAGTTATTGCACGAACTATTAGTCTTCACAAGTTGCTTTTATTCAAATTTTATACTTATCTTCAAGGCTATGCTAAGGTAAGATTTGCTAACTGCCCTTTTTACAATTTCTTTGCTGAAAATTTATTGAAACAGGGATGCTCTTAAATGCAGGATGGTGTAAAGGACATTACACAAATACTTGCAGCAGCAGTTCAGGCTTGCCATGATGGGGTATACAAACATCTTACACTTTAAAGCATCATCCCTTTTCTCATTCTGCAATCCTTCCAATCATTTTTATATCGGGCAGGTACCTTCGGATGCCGTGGAGCCACTGTTCAAGAAAATAGTGAATGAGTTTTTACACGATCGCTCAAATCCGGAGGTGTGATTTCAAACACCAAGGGAGGGACTTAACTAGAAAGCTTATTCTATCATTTATATTTTTCCTTTTTAATTCATTGTTTTCATATATGTAACCAGGCTATTCCTGTCGCACTCAATGTGGTACGAGAAATGTGCCTTAGGATTCCCGAGGTAACTAGTTCTTAACTCTGGTTTAATATTCTCATATAAATGTAGTTTTACAGCACCAATCCTTTTTTCTTTTTTTTTTCTTTTTCTGAGTTGTCTTTTTGCTTCTTCTATTTTTTTTTTGTCTGCTATACTTCAGTTGATGACAGAAGACTTGCTGCATGATCTTGCTCAGTATAAAACGGATAAAAAGTACCGTACCCATAGAAAAGCCATCTCAGCAGCATCTGCTTCCCTCATAGCATTGTTCAGAGAGGTAGCAGAAGTATTTGATTTGTTAATTGGAACAAAATAATCAGTGTATGTGGTTAACCAGTAATTACATTATTGTAATTTCAGATCAACCCTTTGCTACTAGTGAAAAAAGACCGTGGCCGTCCTGGAGGTCACATTGCCAGACCTAAAAAGTATGGAGAAATCAATGTCTTCAGTAATGTTCCCAATGTTGAGTTATTGCAAGAAAGTGATGATGATGAAGTGGCGTTGCCTGGGACTGATGATATCGGACAGGAGCTGATAACTGAGGACGAGGCTGAAGAAGATTCTAATGATGGTGATGATATGAATAACAACACTGAAGATGATAGTGATATTGATGACGTGGCATTGCCTGGCAGTGATGATATCGAACAGGAGCTGATAACTGAGGACGAGGCTGAAGAAGATTCTAATGATGGTGATGATATGAATAACACTGAAGATGATAGTGATATTGATGACGTGGCGTTGCCTGGCAGTGATGACATCGAACAGGAGCTGATACCTGGTGGAACTAATGACGAGGCTGAAGAAGATTCTAATGATGGTGATGATATGCATAGCACTGAAATTGATACTTTGGTCAGTGGGGATGAAGAGAATGACAGTGATGAAGCCGAGACTGATTGGGAAAACGAAGAAGATGATGGAGAAGCTTCTGTGGAGGGTAGTGGAAACAGAGAGAAAGCAGAGGGGAAGAAAAGGAAGTTAGTAGATTTTGATGCGAGTTTCCTCGCTGCTGATACAAGCCTACGAGCACTAAAGAGATGCGCAGAAGCAAAGAGGGAACAGCCATCTTTTGCAGAAAGAGATGGCATACTTTCCAATGAGGACTTCCAAAAAATCAAAGAACTTAAGGTATACATACATATATGCGAAAGAGACTTCCTCTGTTTGGTAAAGAAGTCCAACTTTGTTGATGATGTCTTGTGTCACATGCAGGCAAAGAAGGATGCGAAAATTGCATTGGCTCGAAAAGGATTCAAAGTTCCGGATTCTGATAAGCTAAGTAAGAAGCTGGTCAATCCAGCCAAACTTGAAGTAAGCTGTTACTACTATGAGAAGCTCCATTTGAGTCGCAAAATGTTTTGGCGATGTTAACTGAATTTTCTTACTCTTTCCACAGGCTCACATAAGGCATAAACTAACAAAAGAAGAAAGGCTGGAGTTAGTTAAAGCGGGTAGGGAGGACCGAGGGAAATACAAATCCAAGACTGCCATCAAGCAGAAGAAGGTATCCGTTTTTGTTTCCGTTGTTACGAGAAATGGTTATTTACAAGCATAGGCTGTGTGTTGTTTGATGATCCAATAATTGTGTGAAATGAAAACGCAGACTGGAGGATCGAGCAATAGACAGAAGGAGCACAAGAAGAATATGCCTCTCGCTGCAGTAAGATCAAAGGCTGGGAAATCAAAGCGAGTCAAGAAAAAGAAGAATAGCCTCAGCGGAAGCCAGTTCAGAGGAAGGAAAGCTTGGAAGTGAAATTGAGCCAAACTCATATCCTTCTTTTTATATCTCCCTTTATTAAATTATTTAACATACTGGAAAATTAAATCATTATTACAAAACTTCCTGATTTCTCATATTGGACTTGATGATATGCTGTTTGATGAACTTTACTTGTCCATGATATTATTATCATCACAGTTCACTTTCTCATATAGTGTTGTTGTGGAATATGGATCATAGAAACTTGTTTTATTGGATTCCAAATATCAAATACATAATAAACAAACAACCAGATGAAGAAGAAGCCACGAACGATTCACTTAAAACTCTCTCTCCTCACTTCTTCTAACAATGACCTCTGGAACGTTTCTGATTGAGATAGATTAATCCAAATTTCACATTTCATCAAGTAAACATGGAGATGGTTGCGTAATTTTCGATTTGAGGCAATCAATAAATTTGGCCGACATAGTATATTAGGCTCGAAATGGTACATTGGGCCAAAGTCCAGCTCCGAAGACCATTAACAAGAACACGTATAAAGAAAATGAATCTAGGGTTTCATCATATACTGGTAATCTGATTGCGGAATGGGGGATCAAGTTGACAACAAGTTCACATGGGTGATTAAGAATGTCTCCTCTTTGCCGTCTGAGAAGATATATTCTGATTCATTCGTGATCGGTGGCTGTAGTTGGTAAGAAGAAGACAAGTTTTTTTTTTTGTTTCCCCTACAATTTTAGGTAACGTTATCATTGATTTTTGCTTGCAGGCGTCTTGTGGCGACATATTTCAAGAGAAATATATTTAATGATTCTCTGTCTCTGTCTCTGTCACTGGCGGTGGCTGATGCTGAGTATTTGCCTTTTGGATGGAAAAGACACGCAGAATTTTCTTTTACTATAGTGAATCAAATTTCTGAAGAATTCTCCCAAGTGCAAGATATCTTTCGTGATTTTACAGAAACACAAGAGTGGTTTGATCACAGGACTCTTGCCTGTGGTTGTGCATCCAGTTTTCCCCTTGCAAAACTGGATGCCAAATATGGTGGATTTATACTGAATGAACAAGTCAAGATTGTTGCAGAGGTGAAAGTTCTTGTAGCTATTGGCAAGTCTGATGAGGCAGACAAACCTCTGAAAAAGATCAAGATTGAGTATTATGATTTCCTCAGCGACACTCCACCAGTAGTGGAAGAACCCACTATTGTCTACGGGTTTCCAGTTGTTTCTCCAGAGGTGGAATTAGTGAGCCGCATTTTTGAAAATCACCCGGACGTTGCATCAGGGTTAAGAAAGGACATGAGCCCATATACGAAGAGAGCACACATGTATTCCCTAATCTGCGTGATTGAGACTCTGAACAAGCCACTTCAAGAAATCTCAAGGTCTTATTTGGTTGATGCACGTGATAGACTGGTGTTCCTCAGAAGCGCTGGACTTCTGTTGGATTGGGTGGAGAAGAAGCTGGATGAGGTGACCGAGAAGATGGACAAAGAGGAACAAGGACAAGGAGATATTTGAAGGCAACACTGTTGGCAGCCAGACTGATGCTTCTGTCTTCTCCGTTTCAAACTCTTATTCTCTTTTTCTTTCTAGTTTCATTTTGAATGTGCTTGGTTTTACTTTATTTACAAAACACACTCTGCTTTTGAAAATCGGACACTTTTGGTTTGATGACTATCTCTAGGTTTTCTCTATTGCACAGTGTGTTTCTTTACGGAAAAGTAAACAGTCGTTGATCGGGAGATTTATTCGAATTTCGAAGCCGATTGCGACACTATTTTCACCATGAACTCCACCTCTTCCTCTCTGATATTCCTATAAGATTGAACCTTTTTAAGGCTAAAAAGCTCGATAACAGCGAGCTTTCCCATTTCTCGCCAATGCTCGCCGTACTGCGAGAAACTGATGTCTTCCCAGGGCCGGCGCAGAGGGCAAGCCACCGAAGCCACCGATTAGAGCCTCAAAATTTGAAGGCTTTTTTACCTAAAAATTTGTTAAGTTTTCTTATATACAATAATTTTTGTAGGGCCTTTTAAAAATATTGTGCGCTTTTAGAGACAACTAAAACATTCTTTTTAATGGTAAAAATCTAATTTAAAATAATTTTTTTCATGGGCTTTGATTTGCTTAGGACACCCAAATTCACCGGGCCGGTACTGTGTCTTCCGTAGGAGAGTTTACCCGTGCCGACCGTTCTTGGTCGGCTGCAACATCCAAGGTCATGGGTTTTGAGATCTTCTTCAGCTGCTTCACTCGAGGAGATCACAACCATTGGAACAAACCCGCGATGAAGAAGTACCACGGGTCCGTATTTGATGGAGAGATGATGAAAGCATCGGTGAGGTAATCCTGCGAAATTGGTGTAAGTTTCCGATGATCGGGAGACTTGGATGGCACGGAGGAAGATTCCATTTAGGGTTTCTCTTACCTTTGTCATGAAAAAGATTAATGACACAAAAGTAAGAAGCAATAAACCCCATAAAACGCAGAGAAAGAAAGCCATTTTCTTTTCTCTTCCTCTTTTTTTTTTTTTAGAGATGAGATTAGTTTAGTCTTGTATATAAGATAAGTGAAAGAAGTTGTTGATGTTAACTTTGTAAATCAAGTGGCTGAGACAAAAGTTACAATTTTGGTCGGTTTGAATATATAGTAGGAAGCAATAGGAATGTGTCCAAACGAAATAGAGACTCATCCATCTTAAAATTTTCGCCGACTTTGTTTGTGTGGTGGTAGCATAAATGAGGAGATAAAGAGTACGAGGAGGAGAATTCTGGAGTGTATAAGTTCCATCAAAAACTAGTTTGATAAATTTTTATTTCTGTTTGAATTTGTTTATTTTTTCCTATAAGAAGAAAAAATTCTCTTGAAATCATAATTTTATTTTATTTTTATTTTAAAGAATTTTACATAAATATCTTCGCTATATATAAAAAAAATTTGATTGCGTCTCCATTGATGTTAAATTGTCAAAAAGATGGCTATTAGTATGTTTATAAAAACATATTTATGGTTAAAAACTTAAAATATGCATATGCATCTACATCAACATTTTTTTTTTGATCATCTGAAATTATATTAGAATTTTCCAAACATTTTTTTTGATCATCTGAAATCTACATCAACATATGACCACTCTTTTCTTTCAAACATAACAAATTAACACATTAGTTGAATAAATGTTAAAAACAGTTAAAAATTATGTTTGTCTGTTTAACCTGTGATTAGATCTTAAATGATTGAACGATTCCTTTTTTTCTTTAGTCAGTAATTTGTGTTAGTTATGGTTGAAGTGTTTGATGATCTAAATGATTAATTAGAGTACCCAGCCCTTTAGAGCAAGTCCAATGGTGTTTCTTAGTGAAGTTATTAAGAAATCCTTAGCTTAAAAAATCATTAAAATTAATGAAAACAAGATATTAGAGTTTCTTAGCTTAAGAATTGTTTCTGTTTTAGGATTTGTTAAGGACTCATGTTGTGATGCCTTGTGATTGGGTGAGGAAAAAATATAGAAGCCAAAAATAAATTTATCTCTTGTTTTTTTTATTCTGCGACACTTATTTTTCTGTCTTGCAAAAATTTATCTTTTTTTTTTTTTGTTTAAATGCTAAAGTCTTGTTTTGTGAATGGGGTTTTACTAAGACTCAGATTCATATATGGCATAAATTTGGCACGAATTAAGCTAAAGACTAATCGTTATTCCGGTTTTTTATTTATATTTTTTAATATGCTTTTCTGTTTTGTATGTTTAAAATTTAAGAAAATTGTAATAATTATTAAGTTTTATCAAATAAAAAAGTTTATAATTTTCATTTTAAAAATAATTTTTTTTTTAAGAAACGTATTTAAGGACTCTACCATTGGACAATGAAAATTTTAAAGATTCAACACAAACTCTTAATTTTGAAATTATCACAATTTATAATAAAAAAATGTTTAAGAGTCCTTTTAAAGACTTTACCATTGGACTTGCTCTTACATAATATCAGAATTAAATTAGTTTTAAGTATTGGATTTTGATCGCCACTTGGCCCACTTCAAAAAATAATTGTGTTATAATCTTTTACGACAATACCAAGTGAAATCAGTTGTGAAAGAAAAAAAAGCTAATAATGTTAAAACCGTGAAGATTACCAGTAAAATAGTTAGTTAATCATATCTGGTTTCACTGATTTTTATTATAATTCATTACTTTGCCTTTTTAAAATTAAAAACGAAAAAAACAGTAATGAGTTTTGGATAAGGTTGAAGGGGTTTCTGGTGTTATAACGTCCACCCAACTTTCGGTACATCGCCAGCATCGGATTTAGCGGACCCCGAAACGTCCGGCTAAAGTCCAATCCATTATCGCCACGTCATCAAATAACGTGTTAAACCGTCAAAAGTCGCCGTTACCGTCCTTCCCTCGGATACTAATTTTAGTACACAAAGAGAGAGAGACTTAAAATTACTGTCAGTCATACGTATATATATACGTATTCGTATATCACGATTATTTTTCTTTTTTTAATAATAAAAAACTATCTTTCTTTTTTATCTTCTTCTTCTCCGATCGGTGGAGTCTTGTCTCTCTATCTTTATATTACTTGTTAACCTGCGCTTGCTTATTGGAGCTCTTAACCTACGCGGATTCTCCGATTTATGACAGCTGAACTCGATTTGGTGGATAAACAAGAGAGATCGAGGTCCAAGAGGCCAAGGCTAGAAGAATTCTACCGGAACAAATGGAGGTTCTGGTAGGTTCTACGTTTAGGGATCGGAGCAGCGTCACGGCGCAGGATCAGGGTGTACCGGCGGCTCTGTCTAACCGGATTGGTTTAAGGAGATGTGGTAGATCTCCGCCGGAGAGTTCGTCGTCTGTTGGAGAAAGCAGCGAAAACGAGGAAGAAGAAGACGACGCCGTTTCATCATCACAAGGAAGATGGCTTAATTCGTTTAGTTCATCTTTGGAAGATTCTCTTCCGATTAAGTACGTTTCTTTATTAATTATCTTCTAAATAATCAAATTATTCTTTATTTACACCTGAATATATTCGATTTAAACCTCAACAAAAAAAAAAAAAAAAAAAAAACTATTAAACCTTTTTTTATTACATGAATAAAGTAAATCACTAGATTCTCTATGTTCTTGTGTTTGATTTTATTGTTTGATGAACCTGTAAGATGTTGAAATTGTTTCTCAGTTTAAATGTTATTACATGTTGAGTGTTGGTTTAGTCATTGTGGTTAGGTTTTGTTTTTTTTTTTGTTACAGGAGAGGATTATCAAACCATTACATAGGGAAATCGAAATCGTTTGGGAATTTAATGGAAGCGAGCAACGCAAAGGATTTGGTGAAAGTGGAAAGTCCATTGAACAAGAGAAGGAGATTGCTTATTGCTAATAAGCTAAGAAGAAGATCATCCTTGTCTTCTTTCAGCATCTACACCAAGATTAACCCTAATTCCATGCCTTTACTTGCATTGCAAGAATCTGACCAAGAAGATCACAAACTCAATGATGATGAAACTAGTAAGCTGAAAGAGAAGAGGATGAAGATGACGAACCATAGAGATTTTATGGTTCCTCAGACTAAGAGCTGTTTTAGCTTAACTAGTTTTCAAGATGATGATCGATGATCATTTTTGTTTCTCTTCTTCTTTTGTCAAGAGTAGATAAAGTTTCGTTGACAATAAGTTGGAGGAAGATTTGACAGAAACCAATTTATGTTTAATTGTAATAAATTAATTTGACTGTTTGTATATTTTGGTAATTCTCAACGAAGTAGACTTTTTTTTTTTTTTTTTATCACACTTCTTGTCAACCTTGACATTCGTTAAGCCCATGAAATTGGTTCTATAAAAAAACTTAAGTCCACATGACTAAGTCGTGAATTTTGACGGCCTAGTCGTAAGTTCAATAGAGGCTGCGTAGTCACTAGGAACATGTTTAGGGTCGTTTTTCCCAAGTACATATTTTTTCTCTACCAAGTTGAATTTATTTATGTACGATTCATCTTAGATATAGAATTTGGATAGAAGTTGAATATGTGTCTCACTGAGACGACCCACTGTCGAAATACAATAATATGTACACATTAAAAAAAAAAAATTGCCTACAAAGTAATTAGAAAACATAAAACTGAGAGTTTTGTTTTTGTTAAGTATACTTTTTTCTTTCAATTTACGTAATAGCATAGGAGAAACTGATCTTTTCAAATTTCGTAGGTACTTCAGAAATGTGTCTATGAAATCGATCATATCAATTTTTAAAAATTTAAGAATGATCAATGATGTCTAAATGATATTTTAATACTTCACAATAAACTTATGGTTCTATAGTATATTTTTAGAAAACAAAACCAAGAGGTTATATTCTTATCCAATATCTTCACATTTTCAACTCTTCAACAATTTCGCTTTCAGTATTATTGTGTAACCCAATGCTTATTTATACTCAACTTACATTTTTTAATTCCAAAACCAGTAGTCCACCTACTAACATCACGTTTTAAAAACAAGGCAAAATTCTGCACCTGTCAAAAAAAACAAAACAAACCAACCAATAAAACTTTTTGTCTTGCTATATAAACCACAGCATCACTTATGCAAAGTAGAAAATATCCGAAAACAAGTCTTAAGTAAGTCAAACAAAGAAAAAAATGGATCTCTTCTTGATTATAGCCGCTTTGGTAGCGGCTGCAGCCTTCTTTTTCCTCCGTAGCACGACCAAGAAATCTCTCCGGCTACCTCCGGGACCAAAAGGTCTTCCTATTATAGGAAACCTTCACCAGATGGAGAAATTCAATCCACAACACTTCCTTTTCCGTCTCTCCAAGCTATACGGCCCGATTTTCACGATGAAAATCGGAGGCCGTCGCCTAGCGGTGATCTCCTCGGCCGAGCTAGCCAAGGAGCTACTCAAGACTCAAGACCTCAACTTCACCGCTCGTCCTCTCTTGAAAGGGCAACAAACGATGTCGTATCAAGGCCGTGAGCTTGGTTTCGGACAGTACACCGCCTACTACCGTGAGATGAGGAAGATGTGTATGGTGAACCTCTTCAGCCCAAACCGTGTCGCAAGTTTCAGACCGGTTAGAGAAGAAGAGTGTCAACGGATGATGGACAAGATCTACAAAGCCGCTGATCAATCAGGCACCGTTGATCTAAGTGAGCTTCTCTTGTCTTTCACCAACTGTGTCGTATGTAGACAAGCTTTTGGGAAACGGTACAATGAGTACGGTACAGAGATGAAGAGATTCATAGACATCTTGTACGAGACGCAAGCACTTTTGGGCACTCTGTTTTTCTCCGACCTCTTTCCTTATTTTGGATTCCTTGACAACCTCACTGGTCTTAGTGCGCGTCTCAAGAAAGCTTTTAAGGAGCTTGACACTTACCTTCAAGAACTTCTAGACGAGACTCTTGACCCTAACCGCCCTAAACAAGAAACAGAGAGTTTCATTGATCTATTGATGCAGATCTACAAAGACCAACCTTTCTCCATCAAATTTACTCACGAAAATGTCAAGGCCATGATATTGGTTCGTAACTCTATCTAACCCTTATTGCAATTCTCTAAGTTAGTTAAATCTCAATATTATTATTATTAACTCGGTTTGTTTCTAATTTTATCAGGATATTGTTGTGCCGGGAACTGACACGGCGGCTGCGGTGGTGGTATGGGCCATGACTTACCTTATAAAGTACCCTGAAGCGATGAAGAAAGCTCAAGACGAAGTGAGGAATGTGATAGGCGACAAAGGATATGTCTCTGAAGAAGACATACCTAATCTCCCTTACCTCAAGGCAGTCATCAAGGAGTCTCTTCGGCTCGAACCAGTCATCCCCATTCTTCTACACAGAGAAACTATCGCAGACGCAAAGATCGGTGGCTATGATATCCCGGCCAAGACCATCATTCAGGTGAACGCGTGGGCGGTTTCTCGTGACACAGCCGCGTGGGGAGACAACCCTAATGAGTTCATTCCAGAGAGGTTCATGAAGGAGCACAAAGGAGTGGACTTCAAGGGCCAAGATTTTGAGCTCCTACCTTTCGGGTCGGGCCGGAGAATGTGCCCGGCCATGCATCTTGGGATCGCAATGGTAGAGATACCTTTCGCTAACCTTCTCTACAAATTTGACTGGAGTCTACCTAAAGGGATTAAACCAGAGGATATAAAGATGGACGTCATGACTGGACTCGCTATGCACAAGAAAGAACACCTCGTCCTTGCACCAACGAAACACATCTGATGCTATATATATCATTAGGACGTTTCTGCTGGTAGATATGGCGTGATCAATGGTTGTTTTTCATTGCAATATTTTCGTTTTAATGAGTACTCTGTTGGTGTTAAATTTTTTTTAAAAAAATATGAGTACTCTGTTTTTTTGGGTCTGTTCTCATTTTTTAACCAATAATGTATTGATGTGCTTCTTTTTTTTTAAGTCTAGAAAACAAAGTATTTCCACTGGTTTAAAATATTTCTTGATATCTTATCTACGATGTCGATAACATATGATTAGATTACATGCTGCTAAAAAACAATAATATGAAATCGAAAGGAAGTTTCGTTGACAACGATAAGTAGTGGAAGATTTGACTTTGGACAACATGTTGCCAAAAGATTAGGACTATCTTTAGAATACTAAGTTTATCATTCTGAAAAATTGAAAAGCAATCCTAGAATTCAAGTTGTATGACTTTATTCCTTGTTTTCTCATTTTTGCAGACGATCAAAAAACTCAAAAAAGCATATGAAAGAAAAGAGAAATACGCTTTTGACTTATAAAAACAGAGAACAACGAAAGGCCAGAAAAGCAAAGAAGAGTAGAGATCAATCTGAAATGACGCGATTCTAAATTGGAGCAAACCCATGCTTTGAAATCTACTATATCATAAAGCATTTCAAGAAAATCACGGCTTAATCTCCTCAACAAACGACTTTATAGAAGAAGAAGAAAGCATTACCAATAAAACAAAATCGTCTAGTAGTGTAAATAAAGCACAGCCGTATGAGGAAGAATCCATCGGTGCCATACCGGAAAATATACCGGTTAAGGAAGAATGATAACAAATTGAAATGACTCTTTACATATCCTCAACCGCCTCCTCTCTCCTTGTAGTAAACAGATTCAACCAACAAAAAATTGCTCAAGAGAGAAACGTACGTAGTCTAAACCTGTTACCTTGCACGCCACCATTCCATGCCTGTGAGAAATCATCGGTATGGTACCGGAAATTAGACCATTTAAGGTTTAAGGATTCAAACATTTATGGATTGGATTGAGAAATAGAATACGTTTTGAGAAGATTAGCTAACCTCAGCTACTACCCTTTTGTTTGAGGGTGATTTTGTCCCCAAGACTTAGAGCAATCCCTTGCGTCTTGCTCCTTATCCTTATGTAGCCACTCAATGCTCCATCGGTTTGCTTCTCAATACTCACATTCACAAGAGCATCTTCACCAAACACACTTTTTGCATATAAGTTTGCTGCAAGGAATCCACATTCACCTTCTATTGCGGATCTGCAAATAGGGAAGCATTGATTAGTAAGAAGAGTTTTTAGTTTCTATCTGATGAAAGAAGAATTTGAACTTACGGGGCAGTGAGACATTTCATGTTTGTGGATTTGATAATGTGGTCGAGGAATTCTCTTTCGTTTTGAATTGTGGTGTTCACAGCAACCTGACATGAAGAATACAACAGGGAATGGTTATACCAAACTCGAACAAACAAACAAAAAAAGAAGCTACAACTATAAAAGGTTTCGGTAAATTACCTTGTTTTCCCATTCAAACTCTGCCCACATAGTTCTGAAAGCAACCTCTGAGCACACAGCAGGGGAGATATAGTCCATGATATCAATGTGTATGTCGTTAAGAACCACGACGTTTCGCTCCATTACATTTGATGTCTCATAGACGATGTTCCCAAATATGACTCCCGTCTCTGTGGACGAGACCTTGATGTTTGCTTTTATCTGCATGCTTCTTTCAGGTGCCAGACTATAGTTCTGAGGACGCTCAACAAGTTTGAGATCACCCATGGTTGCTAACTCCAAGCACAGATTCTGAAGGGTTTCCTTGGTACGGTTGATTACTGTAACTTCGAGCGCAATATCATAATGGTGTACCGTCACATATGCTTCAGCATAGACTGGGTCACTGAATCCCGTGAGCTGAAGAATGCGGTTAAGTTTGTTAGCATCGTTCTCGTCCTTGGTGAATTCTCCAGTTGCACGCTTTAGGTCATCTTGTACCTGGTCTTCCAACTCAAGTTGACTCATTCCCTGAAAGAAACTTATCATCAGTACTTTCAACTACAGCGAAATAAATAAACATAGCATGCCACTATCAACTTCCATTGTCTTTCTTTGAAACTGAGAATATGAAAAAATATCGGATATGAACTGTAAGATAAAGTAGACACCAACGATATCAGAACTAAACAGATTGCCAAGGAAAACTCGTAAGGAAAAAAAAACACAATAAAGCAAGGGCAAGCTTAGAAAGTAATATTACCTTCCGACTCTTTAGATGGAAGAAGTCAATTAGATCATCAGGTTGAGCATGAGTTGTTTGGGTCTTTGCCTTTAGTTCCTCCATCTCTCTAAGCTGTTTTTCAGAAATCATCTTGACAAAACTCTGGCGACAGTATTCCAACCATATCTTTTTCATCTCATCATTCCTATGGCAAAGCAATTTTATGCACAACACAATCCTCTCATACGAATCATTATCAATAGGGTGTGGAGAAACAGGAGATTGCCCAAGTTGCAACATAGAAACCATAATCAGCAAAGCCTGTGTGACTGTCTTGTTTACTTCAGTTTTAGAAGACTGAACCTCTTCCAACCTAAGAACAAGTTTAGTCAACGTGCAAGCAACCACTGCTCCAAGGAAAAAATCACCAGTTAGAAGCAGTGCTCTCAAATTTCCAGAAGTCAGTGATCCTTGAACAACTGTAGGTGAGGAGAATGTGGTTCAGAGGCTGCGCTTTGGGTAGCATAAGTTCCATCAGCAAGAATCACTGGCTTTCTAGAGGACACCATGGCAGAAGAGGTAGGCTGAATCTTCTTCGATGTCTCAGTTGGCTCAGACTCCTCAGAAACAGAGTAAAATGGTAAATCGCCAAGGCATTGTTTAATGGTTGAAATGCCACTCTCAACTTCTGAAAGTGATAGGCAATACTCCCCAATAATCCAAAGTGCACAAGGGCAGACCTTTCCTGCGCGGATCTGATAGAACGTGTCCAACAACCTGGTTATGATTGAAACTCTTAACTTCGGATTTGTTTCTATTATCTCTCTAACAAAAACAACCACGTCAAGAGCTGAAGCCACATTGCTATCTCCCAAGAAATCCATTAGAAGATGGACTACTGTACTTGCAACTTCGGGGAACTTCACTGCACAAGCATGGATTGCTTGAATAAGCATTTGTCTGTACTCCCCATTCTTCTCAAGTTCTCCACTCTGTGTCTTCACAACTTCTTTCTTCAACATTTGAACGACCTCATTAATATTATGATGGGTAATCAAGTCAAGGGCAATGTCAAGTGTCTTCCTGCGGATATCAAGGTTTGGGCTTGAGAGTGCTCTGAGCACATCTATTATCAACTCAACCATGATATCTCTGTGCAATGTCTTAAGCTCATACAACCGATCAAGCAATATTAGCTTCACATTGTTGTCACTCTGAGAAAGAAGAAGTTGGCAGTAGGTGTTGGCAGCAGCCCTAATAGCAGTCGGGGCAGAAGAGAGAGAAACAAGTGTCCCAGCACATTCATAGATAACTGCAGAAGAAGTAGCACTTAACAGAGAAATAATAATCTTAATATATTTCCCCTTCTCTGTTGGTTTAGTCTTACACACACTTCGAATCAACTCCAGCACCACCATCTGAAGTGATTCATTCCAGTCTGAAACCTTGTCAACATTGCTCAGAAGATAATTCACTGCTCGTTCTTCGGCACAGGTAAAGAGCATTAGAAATGCATTTCTCTTGGCAGACGGATCTTGTTCTGTTGATAGAACTTTCTCGATCATTTCAGGTGCATCCACAAAGAGTTGGTCTCCTTGTGGAAGCTTATATATCGACATGATAGCTAGGATTGCATTCCTACGTACAAACGGATGGCGATGCTCCAGATTTTGCAACACTGATGGAGTCAACGGTTCTACTATTTCAGTCTCCTTCAACCGGCAGAGAAACCTCAGTGTCACACCACGGATGTACTCATTCGAATGCTGAAGGTTATTCCGAAGATTCTGGCATATCAAAATCATTTCAGGTAACACCTTCCCCTTAGAATCGGTTTTTTCAATCAGCTCCAGGTATAGCAACAGAAGCTTTTGGATTGTGTGGTCCTCAGAAGGCAGCACATATCTTATAATGGTTATGAAAAGCTGAGGAATGGTTTCACCATTCAACAAAAGCATAACCGCCTTCTTCATGGCATCAATTTTAGCTTCAACATCATTTCCTTCGAGAGCTTCTTTAATCTCATTGGCCACTGCAGGAGTCCCTTTGTCATAGTGCACAAGCAAGGTACTAGATTTGTCCATCTTTTCCGGTGCTGCAGCTGCAAAAAAAGTGAAAGAGAAACCGAAAAAAAAAAAAAACTTGTGAGCCCAAATGAAAAGGAAAATAGTGCAGGAACAAGTGGTACCAATGTAGCATAAGAAAGATAGAAAGTGAATATAGAGAATAGGAACCCAAACTCCATACAATTGATTAAAGACAAAATGAGGTATATATAGATCACAAGTAACAAACAAGATATCCAAAATGTTAATATTTCTTGCGATTTCAAGTTTGAATTACTGAGTATAAGCACCTTACTAGTGTCCTCATCACTGCTCGAGTAAGTTCTATACAAGAAGTTTATGAGTATCCTCCTCAGCAATAATCTACACCTCTCTACTTATATATCTATACAACGAATGAAGCATCTCTTTTCTCTCGAATCCATGGTTTATGAGAAAGCATCATAATCGCAGAAGAATATTCGGTAATGTTCAATCAAGGACCGAAAGATGCAAAACATTGACAAATCTAAATCATCAGATCCAGCGATACACATCACTTTACCAAAACATTAACATAAAATCGAATAATAAAAACAGCTTCCGATCAACTAAAATTCAAAAAACATCCCCAGATTTGATGAACAAACAATGGAATCTACATAGTTCGCAGTCTCACTAAGCTGCACAAACATGAGAATCAGTTTCCTACCGGGATCGGATCAATCTTTAAGGAGATCGAACAAAGAACGTCCGAGAATATCGAACATTGTAGAGTTTTCACAAAGGAAAAAGGTAAAAGGGGGATCGATCTCTATGAAATCTGAGTCGCAAGTTAAACAGAGAGAGAGACGAACCTCAAGGTACGAGATCCAGAGAGAGAGAGGAGGAGATCCACGGAGTTACGAAGCTTTTGGATCCAAGAGAAGATTTTGGATCTCGGAAAACAAAAACACTCCCACAAAGTGAGAGATAAAAAATGAGCTTATTATCGTGGATTCGTCTTCTGAATTTACTCCTCCAAATCCGTTTTTTTTTGGAAAACGAAGAACGGAAAAAAGCGAGTCAGCCTCAAAGGCCCAAATAATTGATTGATGGCAAGCCCAGCCCAATAGATGTTGAGAAAACATAGCCCCTTATGTTTTTAATTGTTTCCAAAATGACCCCAAACTTCATAAAGTGAGCTTCATTAGGATTGAGGAATCTTAGGACACTTTGGTCAGAGTTTATTACCTAACCAACAAACGGTAGTCAACTAAATTGATATTCTTTTGGTCTATTTGATGTTCTACATAATATAAATTTAGTTAACCAACGGTAAGCTCAACAACTAGAAGCCTCACAATATTTAAAACAAGGCATCCCAAATTTGTATCACGTTCTCTAGCACACCATCTGATACGCCTCATAAATCTGCATAGTAAGCATGTTAATATGTTATAATTAAACAACTATTTTAAAAGTGGTCAAAATATATATAACTTAATTAGGTTTTATGAATGAGTTTGTATAAGTATGTTTTATGCTTGGGATGCTTGCTCGTTGCTATGCCTATGATAAAGTTTCTTCTTACAAAAAAAAAAAAAAAAACATTCTAGTAAAACTTCCCTCATATATAATGATCTATTACCTTACTAGATTTTATCTCGTGGTACACCACAGATCGATTTTTTTAACTACAAAATTAAATTTTAAGTTGTATTTATTTTAATATTGTTTATTTTGTTAAGTCTTTAAGATCGTATAATTGTATTTTGATTGTTAATTTTAGGATTTTATCCGTGATACGTCCCGTATTAATATCGATCCAAACCCGTCCTACCATATAACCCCGTTCCGTGAAATTAAATATCATTTTGTTATTTTTAATAATATTTTATCAAATAGACATATAATTCGAGTCAATTTAAAAGTTTAATATTATATATATTTTTGAATTTTAGTTAATAATAATTAATTCTATATAATGATTTCCGAATTAATTGCGTATGTCCAACAGTAAGAATGAAGATTAATAACCAGATTAAGATTTGAATGGTCACGATTAAATATAGGGATTGTTGAGATCTTTTAAGGAAATCGAATTAAATATGGATTTAATTGTGATAAAGATTATTTATTGTTAATATATTATGTTAAGATTTTTGGAAACAATTTTTTATGTTAATAAGTCTGGGCAAATAAACCGAACCAAATGTACCGAACCGAAACCGAAGCAAAAAAACCGAACCGAACCGAACCGAAAATTTGAAAATAACCGAATGGATAATAAATTTAATAACCGAAATAACCATAACCGAATCGGTACCGAACCAAAATATTTTGGTTAACCAAAATACCCGAAATACAATTATATTTTCAAAATAATTAGTTATTTATAGACCAAATAATCAAAAAATACTTGAAAAATATATAAAAATAGTTCAAATACTCGAAAATAACCAAAATATATCCAAAAATATCTGAAAATACTCAAAAATAACCGAAATATCCGAAAATATCCTAAGCAAAATAACCGAATGGATACTAAATTTCAAAACCGAAAGAACCGGAACCGAACCGAAATTTCAAAATATCCGAATGGGTACTAAATTTTAGAACCGAAAAAACCGAAACCGCATAGACCCAACCGATAAAACCGAACGGATAACCGAAAGCCCAGACTTGTTAATATCTTTGATTTAAATTTGTAATTCTAAATAATTAATGTCCATGATATTTGATCGTAGTTAATATCTTTGATTTAAATTTGTAATTCTAAATAATTAATGTCCATGATATTTGATCGTAAATAAGTTGAAACTCGAGGATTTATTTCATAAATGTCTCTGAAAATGTATATATAGATGCATGCTTTGTTTGAAAAGAATCATTCCCTACAAATAATCAATGTTCCACCGAAATGATTAGCACTTGTCATTGCACATTATTAACATAGCATGTGTTTAGATTCTTTAGATGATATATACGTACAAATATGAAAGTATAAACAATGGTGTATGTATATATATATATATATATATATATATATATATATGTAGTACTAGATCCAGAGAGGTTGACAATCAAATCTAACTCATCTTCCCAATGGAACCAAAATCTTTGATATTCGTCATCATCATTATCATAGTCATCAGCACTCCACTTCCTTCTCTCTCTTTTCAATTCCCATCCAACAAAACACCAACAACATCAACACTAATTTCTTCTCAATACAAAACCCTAGCCCGCAACACAATTCAGCAGCAGTTTCTCCGACCACACAACATCTTACGAGCCAAGCTTCGTCTCCCTCCTCTGAAATGGAGCAATAGTCTCGCCCTCTACGCGAGCCGGTGGGCCCAAACCCGCGGTGGAGATTGCAAACTTATTCACTCCGGGGGACCTTACGGGGAGAATCTCTTCTGGGGAAGCGGAAAAGGGTGGACTCCACGGGACGCGGTGGCTGCATGGGCATCGGAGATGAAATACTATGACCGGAGGACTTACCACTGCAAGGTGAATGGGGATTGTTTGCATTACACGCAACTTGTATGGAAGAAGAGTTCGAGGATTGGGTGTGCAATCAGTTTTTGCAAGACCGGTGCCACATTTATTATTTGCAACTATGATCCTCCTGGTAATATTGTTGGACAGCCACCCTTTTGAATATTGTCTACACTTTATCTTTACCTTTATTTTCCTCAACTACGTACACTTTATCTTTATTTATGTAAAATCTTGTTTTGATTCTTGGATATTTGTCATATTGTATGTAAGATAACAAAAATGAATTACGTTTTCTCTTGTATCCGTATCATATGTACAGTATATGCTAAACTTTTCGGGTAAGGTTTCAGTTTCATTATATTAAGCCACCAATAAAACACCTGATTTTTAACATGAGTTTTTTTGGTGATGCAATTTGTGTTTTGATATATTTTTGTTGCCGTAAACAAATTTTTATTTTTTATTGTTTGGCCGGTTTGATTGTGTTTCGGTTGAGATGGGGGACCTACGTTCTTAAATTCAGACTTTCAGTTCATGTTGACTTGGTTCGGTCTATGTTAGATGCTGATATTGACTTTTATCCGGACTGCCAAATTGAACCGAATAAAACCAAACCATAAATTAAGGGGAACTAATCTGGGCCTCAGAGCCAACGAAATAAAAAAGCCCAATGCTTCAAAACTCAGAAACTGAACCCTAAAGAGGCTTAGATCGCTACATCGACGCCGGTCCGAAACTTCGACTCGTGGTTATCGTCAGTTTCATTTCTGCTTCTTCTCTCTCTCGTGGCTAGACCATTTATGTGGTTTGGTTCACTTCAGGTCAGCTTCTCATCGATTCTCTATTCTGTTTGTCTTGATTCGACGATTCATTTGATCTTTTATTCAATCGGTGTCTGATTCGAGCGACGGCGAAGCAAGAAGGCGAAATAGCATACCGGATTTTACCGGCTAATTTTATCCGGTTTGACTAAAATCGTTGGCTAAACCGATTTGTTTCCATCTTCAGGTCATACCAAGCACAGAGAAAAGCATTTGGGTAGGTTTTGCGATCTGTGATTTTCGGAAGGAGAAACGAAAATGGCGTTTAGAGGGAAGGAGATGATGAAGAAGCTGGTGAAGAGAGTGGGAGCGGAGAATATCACGCCAGAGCTCAAGGAGAAGCTCAAGGCTTGTGTTCCTGATACCAAAGTCGTCATGGGCAGAGCCAAACGCGGTCTCTACGCCGGCCGCCATATCCAGTACGGCAACCGCGTCAGTGAAGATGGTGGAAACAAGTTTGTCTCTTTCTCTCTATGCCTCCCTATCTGTTTATGATGTATGTGTATTCGCTTGAGATTTGTTGAATTTAGAGCTTGTGATGGTTTTGCTTAAAATTCACGCATTGAAGGGCTAATTTGTATGTTTTTTAGGAATGCTTTCTAGATTTAGGTTTCATTTTGGTGAAATGAAATCTAAATTCTTGCGTTTGGAAGTATTCAATAGCCTTTGAAATCTTTAGCTGGTTAGAGATTGTATAGTGCCTCATTTTGTTTAGCGCTCTCATTTGTTTCCGGAAGATGGCATTGTTGTTTTGTTTCTGTATCATGCTACTCTAAAGATTCTCAATATTTTGAGCCATGGTGTGATGAAATTTATCCCCTTTATAGAGAAATGTAGGATCCATGTAACCTATGTGTCTTAATCTGATTTATTCTGTATGGTTTGGTAACTTTTGTTTGTGATTTGAGTTCAGGTCCAGAAGATGTTGGAAACCGAATGTCCAGGAGAAGCGATTGTTCAGCTACATATTCGACCGTCACATTAAAGTCAAAGTCACAACACATGCTCTCCGCTGCATCGACAAAGCAGGAGGAATAGACGAGTACCTGCTAAAAACACCATACCAAAAGATGGACACAGAGATGGGTCTTTACTGGAAAACCAAAGTAGAGCAAAGATATGCAGAGCTAGGTCAAATGGAAGTAGCCTTCTTCACTCCAGAGGATGAAGCCAAGTTCGAACAAGGATTCAAAGACTTGAATATAGCTAAGAAAGATGCTCGTAGGGAAGCTAGAAGAAAGATGTATGGAAAGAAAGGCGGAGAAGGGAAAGCTGATGAAGAAGCTTCTATTGAAGGTGGAGGGTCAAAGTCACACCAAGAAGATGATCATGGGTGGTTAGAAGCTAAAGCTTAGTGCTGCACTCTTTTCTTTTTGCTGAGGTTCTTCAACGTTTTTAGATTTTGGAAGATGTGAGAGGTATGTGATGTTGTAGGTTATAGGTTCGATTCCTCCCTACGAATCCCATAACTCAGGTTTTGACTTTGATCAATGTCGAAAAGTCTTGTAATAAATGGTTTACACCTCTTTGGAATTGGATCTCTATTTACCATTTTTACATACTTAGCTTGTCCTTCTCTTTCGATACCTCATCTCCAATGGTGAACAGTAGGTGATCTTAGTATTATATATTTGCGTAAGTATTCTTCACAAGTTAATATTATCTGAAATTTCGTTCATATAATTTTAAAACAAGTGTGTCAGTGGTATTTCTGATTTTTGTATTTATTTCAGTTCTAGTATGTATTTAATTTCTGTTATCAATCATTTAACCATTCATTTCACAAACATCAACTAAAGTTTGATTTTGGATCCACCAAAAAGTTATAAATTTAAAGAATTTGGTTGCTCTACCATAAAGTCACAAATTTTCTTATTTTAGAAAACAAATAGTAATATAGAGAGATTTAAAATACAAAAATCAAGGATAAAGGCTAAGATGTTTGTTGCTATAATAGAGGACAGATAATTAAACTACATTATCCTTAGTCGTGGCATCATCACTAAATACTTATCAGAATTCTCATGATTTTGTTTTCTTTTTCCATCTTCTGACCAAACAAAGATATTGGACATAATAACTTTAGTTTAATATCTTTAGTTCTCTACCGCTACCTAGAGACGTCGCAATCTCTACCAACCGTCAGATATTCCGACCCCATTATAGACGGCGAGGATCTCTGCGTCTCCGTCATCTCAGATTCTTTTTTTTGCGATATAAAATTTAATGAATATTTGCTTTGAAGGTCATTATGGAATAAAAACAAACATTTGATTTATTCTTAATTCCAAAAAGATAAATTACTTAAAATAACTTGCAAAACCGAAGAAAAAATATCGGCAACAAGAACAAAACGCTCTTCTATTTTTTTTCTTCATCTTCCAATTTCCAGGAACAAGATTGGACGAAATCTAAAGGTAATCATCGAACAAAATAAACAGCTTAGCTTCTAAAAATCCTTCCTTTACCTCGGGATTCTTTTTATGTTTTCGGACAAATTGACTTTTTTGTGTGTTTATGATGGTTTGGAAACTAATGATAAATGATGTTACTGTTCTTGATTCTGAATCGATTTTGTAAGTTGTAACTCTCTCTTGTTTTAGACCAGGTAACAAAGAAAACATTTACTGTTTTTGTTTCTCTCCAATGAATCACTTGTGTAAAATAGTTGAGAATTGTTTCTCTTCATGTTCAAGAAATTTGATTGTTTTAGTTCTTTTTCAAAATGAAATCTTTATTGAGAAGTGATTGTAGGCATCGTTTGGATCATTTTATGAAAGGTTTCATTTTTATTTGAACCATCACAGATGATAAGCTTTTGTTTCGATAGGACCTTTGCTAGACTTTTGTGGTTGAAGCTCTTTATGTTTGGCTGTTGATTTTTAAGATCGTTATTACAAGAGTTTAGTCAGAACAATGTTTTCTTCTAATGATGATTTTATGTCTGGTGCAAAGGTATTGAATCGCAGATTTTAGCAGTTTAGTCTCTGAGTATGACTCTTGTATTTGCTCTTTTGCTCGTTTTTTTTTTCTATCAGTGTTTGATCTGTTCTTTTTTTTCATTCTTTGGGGAACTTTGGAGTTCAAATGAATAGTTTTTCTTCAAGAATTTGCGTTTTGATAAAGTAAAATAAAGAGTCTTTTTGTTACAGGTATTGCATCCATTTAAAAAGTTCATGGATAGGTGGTCGGGTAAAAGAGCGCATGAGGCGCGACCTGACTCTAAGAAGGGTGGTGGTGTTGTTTTCAGAGATAGATTTAACAACAATAGTTGCAAGGTTCCTATTTGTAGTGATGAGAAAAAAACGATGAACTTTACTCGGTTTGTTGGCTCTTCAGATAAGAAAGAGAAGTCAGTCTTGTCTACATACCGCTCTTCGCCAAACGGGAAGGAAGTAATTGGAACTTCCTCTAAGATTTGTGGCTCTAGCTCCTCTTCTGTGAAAAGTGAGAAGCAACCGTTTTCTCAGATAGCCATGGATTCATCAGAGAGCAGCAGAGGTAGCGAAGATGAGGTAGAGACAGAAATCTTGCAAGTTTCTCTTGGAAGAGATAAAAGAAAAGCTAACAATAAACTTATTTATGGAAAAGTTATAACACCAGAAGCGGAATGTTCAAACTTGCCATCGAGCTCAAGAATCAAGAGAGGTTTTAGGCAGAGGTTTGGGTTGAGCAAGCAAGAGTTTCACCCTGGTCCCTCTGGCCAGTCAACATCTGCCAACCGAGGATGCAGCCCGTTGTTATCCGGTGTCATTCCAAGTGGTTTTGGATTGGAGAAAAGATTAAGTCGGAAGGCAGATACTATCAATAAGAGGAAAGTTTATGGAGAAAGCAGTTCTAGCTCCTCAGCTAGGGGGAAGAATGTAACAGAAACACCAGCTGAAGTGAGACGTCGTAGTTTTAATCCGAGAGGTTCTGTTTCAGATATTAGACAGGCTAGACACTGCATTTTGAATGATGACAACGATGTTGCTTCATTTGGGAGTCAGAGATTGGCAGATAGAAGTAATAGTCGCATTAGATTCTCAAACCCTGGGAGTGGTAGAGAAGCTTTATCCTCTGTCACGGCAACAGAGATGTCTCAGACTGAGACATCAAACAATCTCAATTCTCCTGTCTCTTTGGAGCTGTTCTCTGGTTTCCCAGAATTTGGCCTCTCTGGTTCCTTATTGAGTCAAGACAGTTTTCGCAGTTACAATTTAGATGGGATCTCGGAGGTAACTATTTCCTGTTACTCTACAACTTGACATCTTGTCTGAGCATCATCAACTAGTGCTTACAACAATGCCCTTAGCACCGTTTAACTTTTGGTGTTTTGTATTGCTCGGATGCTTTTGCAGATTTTGCCAGAACTTGATAGGATTGAACAAGATATCGAGCTTAATTATGAGGTTAAAATTTGACACATGTTTTGACTTTTGAGTTTCAGATGTTGTGATAGTGTTGTTACTCATATTTTCCTCTCCCTTATCAGGAGCTGCTTATCATGGAGACAGGTTTACTTCTCGGTGGACTAAGCTTCCATGACCAACACCGAGACATGAGGCTAGACATAGATAACATGTCATATGAGGTTCGTCCTTACATCTTTCAAACTCGTGTTCCGTATTGGGATGTAGTATCTTTACCGTTTTGTCTTTTTATTTTTGAATGAATACAGGAACTATTAGCTCTTGAAGAGAGGATTGGTACAGTAAGCACTGCTCTCACAGAAGAAGCAATATCAAAGTGCTTGAAAACAAGCATCTATCAGATGAAACCTGTAACTTATGGGTCTATCACCAAAAGTCCTAGTGATCACAAGGAAGATGCCAAATGCAGCATCTGCCAGGTTTGTCTTGTTAGTCATAATCAAGCCTTTGGCTTTGATGAAATCTTAAGGAAAGCCTGCCATGAGTTGATGTAGCTAAGTGAACAACACCAAACTTTGTCTATTGTTGCGGGTGCTGTCACAAAGTGTAATGGAAATCTTTGATTATTACAGGCGTTTCATTGATGCATGATGGTGAATATAGAACTGATATGTATTTGTATATGTAAAATCAGAAATTTTCTTTACCTTTTCTCTACAGTTCTTCACACTCTGATCTTTGTGGTTTACAGGAAGAGTATACAATAGGAGATGAAGTTGGGAGGCTACACTGTGAGCACACATACCATGTGAAGTGTGTGCAAGAGTGGTTGCGGATGAAGAGTTGGTGCCCAATCTGCAAAGCCACTGCCGAAACTTCCTCTAAATAACTGTCTTCTTCTTCTTCCTCGTTCGTTGTATTATTTATTTCATCTAAAGCCTGTGAACAACAATGGAACCTGCCTAGAAAGGGCCTCACCATTTCCTTTGTGTACATACCAATTCACACCGGCTCTGTCTCTCTTTCTATATTCCTTTTGTCTAATGACAAAGCTATCCTGTGTTTCTCTTCGTCTTTTCACCTGTTTCCTGTTGATTTCCGTAATGTAAAGTGGGAAAGGCGGAAAATATGTCATTTGAACTTTGAAGATTAAGAAAACGTCATCTTGAATTCTTAAACTTGGACAATTTGTTGAAAAACAACAAAGAGCGTGCGTGGTTCTTTGGATCTCTGGACTTGTGGGAAAACTTAAAAAGACATTCAAAGAAGAAAATGGAGTCGCCTTCTGCATATTTTCAAAGTAAAAGCCAAAGGTTTCCCAAAAAAGAGAGCAACAATTACTGTTGGATAGACTGAGAAGCCGAAAGCAGAATCATCACGGGATTTAGAATCTGAGAATTTCATGATTCTCCATAGCGAGAGTATAATACATTTTCCCATTTGTAATTCAGCTCAAGTATTACTTGATAGGATCATCTGAAACAGTTTATGTCAATACCTTGTAGGGTAAAAGAAACAAGTAAGAAAACCAACCAGTAGAATGTAAAAATGAGGCAATTCACTGATTTTGAAAATAACTTTTTCACTGAAATGAGGTAACAAAAATGTAAATGTAAATGTAAAAGTGATGTCAATGTGTCTTCAAGATATAAATTCTAAAACAATTCTAAGACTATGTTACATACAGAGCAATACTGCAACTATTACGTGATTGTTTGTACCTTGCTCTTGCCTAAAACCCACAGTATCTCAGCCAAAACTTTCTCTTGATTTCCTTATCGGCCTGCGTTTACACTCAAAGCTTGAAACTCGCTGGAATGGCCAGATTTCTTTTGATCTTACAACAACACGTATTCATTCATATCTACTAACCTGCCCCGAGTCTGCGGCTCCAGGACATAGTTGGGTCAATCAGCCATCAGGTCCATCATGGGATACAGAGCTCAAGAATTGTTTTCTACCAAAATCAGTGGCCAGTCTTTTTGGACCAGAGAGCTTACTCAGACAATTTGCAGCATCCAATATGCCTAACCATTTTCTTTCACACCCCTTCTCGTTCCTCGAATGAACATATGGAAATTCTTTCCCGTAGCAATGGCCAGTCTTCACCAAGTTGATGCGGATTTAGCTCCATTGCAACTCTAAAATCAAGCAAAGACACTGAATGTTGTTCTTGCGTTATGTCAGATGGTTGGTTGCTAGTTTGTATGTGCAAACTATTACTCGTCCGCACCCCATTTACAAGCTCGTCTCGGCTCTGCTGTTTGTCTAAACTTTGTTTTCCAGGCGTTCCATTCATGGACCGAGCTCCAGCCAAATCAACGCATGATTTCATTAGTTTCTTCAGGTACAAGTCCAACATGTTATTTAAAACAGTAGAACACTCCGCGGAAACCCCTCCAAGACCCTGTGCTACTGCAATATTCTCCATCCTCTTCCTCAGCATCTCTGTGTCTGACAATCCACCACTGTCATAGCAACTGATAGCATCTGCGCTGGTCGAAATTGGAACTGTTCTGCGATCCCCACCGACACTAGCCGAGCAGAATGGGATCCCCAGAGGTGCAACTACAGGAGGCATGGAAAGAATCAAACTACCTCGCTCTTCTTGGGCTTCATCATCCCTGCTAAGAGGAGCTGCAACCTGACCTTTACCCGAATCCCTCTTTTGTTCAGCAGGGCAAAGAAATGCACTGTCTCTTTCATCAGCATAGCGACCTGATCTTTGATAAGCAAAAGGACCCGAATCCCTGTTCTCCGTGTTACTATTACCGGTTCTGTCAACCTTTCCGTTTGGCCCTAGTGGACAAGGCTTATCTCTGATTGTACTGTCACACGTTCCAAACCGAACGTTGGGTAACACCCCATTTGAGCAAACAGGATCATTCCTACTATGGTCAGGAATTAGAGGTCCGCTTTGTTCAGGTCCATCCTCTTTCCCAAGCACCAAAGATTTGCCAGGGTGACCGGTTTGGTGACCTGGTGGTGGGGACTTAGCCAGAGACGCATTTCTCAAGATGGAACGAATCAACTTGTTGTGTAGAGAAAGATTCTCTCTCCCCAAAAGACGGAAACATGACTTATCAAACTCACTCTTAGTAAGCTTCTGACTCAGAAACCTGCCCAAATAGTAAAAATACCTTCTAGATCTTTCAACCCCAATCTTCTTCACTATATGCACTTTCAGGTCAGCTAGATCAACCCTGGGATCTTGAAGACGTTGCATACTTGTTTCTTCTTCTTCTTCTTCTTCTAAAACCGAAACCAGATGAAACAGTCAGAGGAGTGCACAAAATGCACCCTCTCAGCTTCTAGTTATCCTTCACACAAACAAACCCAACTCATCAACGTATTATTTCTCAAACTCAAATCCAAGAGCATTTCAAGAACTCAGCTGCAGCTTTTAGTACAGGCCACTCCAATTGCATCCAAAAGCTCTTTCATTTTCCCAAACGACCCAGAATTCGTAAATCTCATGTTCCCAAAACCAAAACCCTAGAGATCATTATCTACTAGCCAGCTTATACCAAGAACCTTAAAATTCAACCTCGGCTGATTCAGTATCAGAATGGATTAAAAACCCTAGCTTGGAGTCAGCAAATCAATCCATCAAGAAGGAAGAACCACCAACTAACCGTTTCTCCAAGTTCACGAGCGAGTAAGAAGACGAAACTGAATCAGAGCAGAAAAACCCAAGCATTTTTTGCTTCACGCCCAATTCGGAAGCTAAGAACTTGAGAATTTCCGAAATTTGAGTTGGAGAAAATCGAGATCAGTGGAGTTGGACAAATGATTGGAGCTTTGAGAACAGAGCACCAGATTCGAATTGCCTAAAGAAAAAGATGAAATTCGAATTGAAGAAGGAGGAAGCGGGCAATGAGAAGCGGGACCCAAGCTTGGAAGCAGAAAAACAAGTGTTGGAAGATTGATTTAGAGTAGGAAAGATTTGACCAGAATTCAGACACGAAAACAAAATCGGAACATAACAAGTAACTTCCCAGAGTTCCGACACCAACCCAATGATTTCTCGGCTCCTTAATAATAATAATACACTTCTGCTTCGATTGAATCTTGCTGGCTTCTTGTTTCGTATTGCTGCTTTTCAGATTTGAATGTCCGAGCGCTTTCGCTCTTGTGTGTTTGTTTATTAGCTTCGATCGCTGCTTATTGGGTTTTGTTGTTCGTTTTTCTTCACTTTTGTTTCTGTCTGTTTTTTTTTTTTTTTTTGTTTCTCTCTCTCTCACTCTCTGTCTTGATAAAATTTGGTTTATTGGGTTTCTTCTTTTCGCTCGTTATTGCTTTTGTACTTTCGACTAAATCGAGTTTGATGTAAGAAATTCTGTAACAACAATAGATTAAACCCATTTGATTTATTCATCTTGCAATGTTCTGATCTGAGTGATCTCATCTAATATCGGATCATGTCAGAATTTCTTTACTTGATACAAGTGACAATTTATTTACAAGATTAAAGATGAGTGTTAGTACTTGAGATTTCCCCCAAATATTAGGTGTTGGCTTTTTGGTCAAGTAAAAAGATTTTAAAATTTGGCGTTGAACAAAAGAAAAAGAGTTTCAATATGGAATTTGCAAACTACAAAGCTTCGTCAGCTGGAACAAAACCAAGCTTCAAACTTACAACATTAAACATTAGAGATTCAGACAAATGAAAGAAAAAACAGAGACACAATTCCACATAACTCGACAAGACATATCCTCCTAACTCAAATACTACAAGAAAACCTACAAAGATTACCAAGTGACAAAGACCAAACACAAACAGATGTGGGATTCAATCTAAAAGAGATGTCACATAATCCTACCTCATAATACTCTCCTACTGCATTGTGTTTGTTGTGTACAGCTCATCTTACAGAGTTTATTTGGCCCGTCCTTTGCCTCGACCTCCTCGGCCTCTTCCTCTCCCCCGCCCTCTTCCTCTTCTGCTGTATGCCAAGACCTTCGTAGTTCCCGGGCTGCTACTTGCTGAGTTTGAGTTCGGTAGAGACTGGTCTCCTGGGAGCCACTCTTCTTCATGAGTGCTTGAACTGTTATGCGAGCCACTTGAGTGGCTGTCATTGTTTTCGTTATTAATTGCACCATCTGAGCCATTCCCTACTGTCATATCATCACCATGAATTTCAGCTACAGGCTGAGAAGCCTCGGTTTCTTCTGGTGGTGTGGGTTTTGGTTGACCTTCCACCACTGGTGAACTGAAAAAGTAAGGCTTTGCTTAGTATGAAATAATATCATCATGTCAAACTAGACAGACAAATGAGGTGGAAGGTGAACTGAAAAAGTAAGGCTTTGCTTAGTATGAAATAATGTCATCATGTCAAACTAGACAGACAAATGAGTTGTTTTTTCACCTAGGTGATGAAGATGGGAAACCGTTAAAAGTAGCACGTGATGCGCCTATTTCATCAGCTTCTTTTGATGTTTCAAACACATCTTTAGGGATGCAAGAAGAGTTCCCAGTTGGATCCAAAGTTGCCCCAAGAGCCAAGACAGCTGCATTAATAGGAACGCAAGTAATTTAAGAGAACCCAACTAAACATCATCCAGCACCAAAGGAATTCAACATACCATGTATACCATTTGTGGTGTTTCCGATAGTAGAGCTAGGTTGGATAAAATCGCCATCTTGATCATTGAAGTCATCTACAGCGGTTCCACTGTCACATACAGTTGAGAAACTTCAGAAGATTGATATACTAAAAAATGGATCTGTCGAAAAGAAACAAGTTACAATCTGTGTTGGAAGGATAAGCACAATAAAAAGAACCTTTGAGGAGCGGTATTTGTATCTTCAGACGGCTTGACTCCTTGTGTGGAGATAAATGTCTCGTCCAAACCAACTCCACCTAATCAGAACACATTAAATTCATGAGACAGAGTATAAAAATCGAATATTAGAGAGTGTATACAAATTAAGGATTAAGGGAGAAACTAACAAGATCTAGTATGTAAAACTCCTGTTTCTCCGACGGCTAGATTAGCTTCCGTAGTCTTCACTCAAGTAAAACACATAAGGACACCAAAAAAAGAAAAGATTGGAACTGCAAGTTTCTTCTTGGTATAGAGAGACACATAGTGTAAAGAGTGCTTGATACCTGATTGTGTTCAGAGGTAGGTATGGCTGAATTTGGTAGAGCTCTGCTTTGTTCATACCGTACAGCTGAAAGAACAGAAAAAAAAGAGTTACTCATGTGACCAGAGCCGAAAATACTTTCAGTTTCATCTCATGTCTTACTGAAAAACTTCGACCACATGTAAATAAAGAAAGAAAAAAATACCTCCATCAGCATTCAAAGACGAAGCATTTCCTTTGAGCATATCAGTCGCTAAAACATAGGGGCTGTATTTAGGTTCCAAAGAGGCTACACTACTAGGACTTTTAAGCATTTCCTCTGTTGCTTTAGCTCTGACTTTGCGAATTTCATCTTGAATATTCCATGATTGATTAGAACCGGACTTCCTTTTCAGCTGCATTTTGGTATTAAATGTCAGAATGGATAAGGGTAAATTTGAGAGAGCCATTCAAAATACATAATGGTATGCAACTTTTCTTTAGGAAAAGCTGGAAATAGTGTCCCACAAATTCCTCGTGGTTATCTAACATAAACAATAGAAGTTAAGCAGAGAATTTTATCTTATAAACCAAGGTAAAACAACTTCAGACTTTCAAACAACATTTGACCATAAGAAAAGTATGCACTGCTGGAAAACTTAAAATTCTAACCTTAGATGAGGAAAAGTTTCCAGCGCTATAAGGAAAGGGTGTCCCTTGCATTCCTGCTGATGATGGTGATCGAAACTCTGCTGGAGATCCCCATGGCAGACGAGCTCGCATGTAAGACTTGGCCACGTCCACAGGCGATCCAGCACCATCTTCAGTTGCCTAGAGAATTAAACTAATGGCTGAGATGGTGATCATCATTTAAAGCACAATGGAAAAGAAACACATATGGCGGAATAATGTGAAGCAAAGCTATCAGAAGTTGACCGAAATCATGTGAGCAAATGGTCTTCATAGTAAAAAAAAAAGAGCAACAATATGGATCTTTTGCATTTTAAGCGGACAAAAAAGTAGTTTCCAATCAGGACATTTCAGGATTAATGTCACCAGATGGCCACACTCAAAATTCTAAACAACCTACTTTTGCAAGAGAGCTTTACGTTGCTGATCACATGGAGTGGCATAGAACAATAAAATCATTTTACACAAACAGAAGATGTCTCCTTCTATAATAACAATGGCTTAGAGCACAGAGACAGATATCACAAAAAAGTACAAACCTGCAGGCTGCAGCAATATGGAACAGTTAAGAAGAGTTAGAACTTACTGTATACTTTGAACTTGATCCTGATTTCTTTTCCTCCAACCATTTTCTTGCTTCCATGACAGTTGTATTGGACATTTCACCAACATTCACATCTAGAAATAGAACAGAAAAGACGTTATCACATTGACTAATCCGGTCTGCTTGCACAGTCTACCATCAGTTACATACCACTTGTCAATCCATTGTCATTATGCCTCCCCTCAACAGCAGAGGGGACACTAGGATGATCGACAACCCTAGCCTTGATGATATCTATTAATCTATCACCCTCTTCCCTGGAACAACATACACATGAATGAATAAGCAGGATACAAGATCAGCTTAGATTTGTTAACTAAACAAATATCACAAAGATTCTTTTAAGCTAAGAGCTGTAAATATTAAATAATAAGACTCGCGGAAGAGGCTGCAACTTATGATGTCCAGAAAGCCAGACATAGAGAAATACCTTGCAAATGTTTCTTGCATGAGAAGCTGCTCAATTACACGCTTAGAACTGAGTCGTTGGATGGTTGGTTGCTGGGCAGTCAGAAGGTCCTATTCACACAAGCACACATCAAATTCACTCCACAAGTTCACATAAACTGAAATCATGCTTTCATCAAAAAACTTTTAGTTGAAAACGTGTTAGAACTTTACTTCTACAAAATCAGGATCACATTACAATTCATACACATACTAAAAAGGCGAAAGGTGACTCAGTACAAAACTAGCAGAAAAATAATCAATCTTTAGCAACACCATAATCCACTGCGGCTACAGAGCAGAATCAATCATAAGAATAATGAATTCAAACAAATATCTAGAACTACAGTGGCAGAGCAATCACCAAAACGAACAAGGTGGTTAGTACCTCTTCAGTAAAATCGGTAATGGTCTTCTCAACATCCTCATCACCATCAATATCTGCACACAAAGAGGTTAACATGTAAAAATCCGTACTTTAAAAGAATAAGACACAAAGCTGGTCGGGTCGGTTCTATTAATTCCAGAACTACTTCATATGCAAACCAAGGAAGAGAACGGGTCGACCTAATCCCAGAACTACATTATATGCATAAAAATTAGAGCTTTAGAATTAGTATGAAGGTTATAGCTTTAGAAGTAACCTAACTAAATAGAGTAGAGTAGTAATTCACCACTGCTTAACTGCTATTAAGTCCCACATATCAAAGGAAAGAGAAAATGGGAAAGCTTTAAATCAAAATTCACATTTCAAATGAAACGGTAGGTTTCAGATTCGAACAGATAATAAACCAAAAATTCAAATGAATCATATCTAAACCCAAATAAATTGTACAAACCTGAAGATGAATCCTCGTCCTCCTCCGAAGACGAGGAAGAGTCGGAGAAGACGACGGAAGAAATGAATTTTCCGGCGCCGGAGGCAATTACGCTGGCGGGTTTGTAAACGAGCCTGGAGATCCAACTAGGGTTTTGCTGAGGAGGATCTCGGGATCTCGGAACGGGGCGGTCATACGGCGTCCTGACGGCGGCGGTGCGTCGTGGTCGAACAATTTTTCCTCCGGTACGAGGCTGACCTACTCCGGCGGGGTAACCGGAGACGGAATCCATGGTGAAAGTGAGAGGAGGAGGAGGGAGAAGTTCGTTGAAGGAAATAATGAAGTGTTGGGGAAAATTGGTAATTTCTCGTTATTTGTCGTCTTCTTGTTTTTTTTTTTAATTGGGGGTGAAAGGTTAGTTTCCTAAATTACAGGCCTGCGGTTAAAATTTGCTTCCACCAATAAAATTAGGCAAAAAAACAAAACATTCCGACTATAAAAAAAAATTAACTGTAGTGTATAATCATGTATTATATATTCATTTGTTTTCATATTTTGAAATTTGAACAATGTACATGACGTAGAAAAAAGAAAAAAATAAGAGAGAGATTATAATTTGGAAAAAAAAGTCATGATAGAACGAAGTAATTAATAAAGTTGTAAAAAGTTATTTCAAAAATAATATTTAAACAATTTAAATTAAAATTTGGTTTTTAGTTTATTTTTATTTGCACCGAATGGTACTTACTGTAATTCGTCAACTACTGTATGTCAGTGTTAAAAAAAGCTAAAATAATGGGCCCAATGGGCTATATTAATATCGGGTCAAGGACGGGTCAGAAACAACCCGATCGGATCTAAAATGGGCGCCTTCTTTTTCATTTTGATGGCAATCAATCAATCGACGCTTCTTTAGAGACAAACGCAATCGCCGATCCATTTACGAGCCGTCGTCGCTTTACACATATCAACAATCCTTATCCTCCAGTTTCCATTTCTAGATCGATCGAGATTGAAGGAGAGAAGATGCCTGGTTTAACATGTAACGCGTGTAACATGGAGTTCAAGGACGAAGAAGAGCGTAACCTTCATTACAAATCCGATTGGCACCGCTACAATCTCAAGCGCAAGGTCAATTTTCTGCTGTTTTCTCTAACCCAATTTGACCTCAGACTATTTTTGTATACTTTTTCCATTTTGCTGTCGAAATGATTTGTTTTAAGGTTATAGAATCGTTCTCTTGCAGGGGAAGAAAGTCTCTAGATTTTATATGAAATCTTGATTTGAAGCTTATCATAGATTTGGTTTCTTGTACGCATTTGAATCTTTTTGTATTTATGGAATTTTTGTTGTTAGGTGGCTGGAGTTCCTGGAGTTACAGAAGCCTTGTTTGAGGCTAGACAATCTGCTCTTGCTCTGGAGAAGAATAAATCAAATGAAGCTCCTATGCTTTATACTTGTGGAATCTGTGGTAAAGGTTACAGGAGTTCCAAGGCTCATGAGCAGCATCTTCAGTCCCGGAGCCATGTTTTGCGGGTTTCACAAGGCCCATCAATCAACGGAGAGGAGGATATAGCGATTATCAGGCAACTTCCTCGCCGTGTTCAACACAGGGGTTCCATTGATGATGATAGTGAAGATGAATGGGTGGAGGTTGATTCTGACGACGAATTGGCTGCTGAAGAAGCCTCACATTCGTTGTCTAAGTTGAATGTGATTGAGTCAGGATCTGCTGAAGATATGGATGATGATGGTGATGCAGACAAGTATGAGCTGGACCCAACCTGCTGTTTGATGTGTGACAAAACCCATAAGACCTTAGAGAGCTGTATGGTTCACATGCATAAGCACCATGGTTTCTTCATTCCCGATATCGAGTATCTCAAGGATCCTGAAGGGCTTCTCACTTACCTCGGTCTCAAGGTTTGGACTCATCAATTTACCATTCACTGTTCGTTGTTGTCAAGCTTTCAATTTCTTACTCCTATTTACTTATACATGGCTCATCACTCAGGTCAAGAGAGACTTCATGTGTCTATACTGCAATGAGCTGTGCCGTCCATTCAGCAGCTTAGAAGCTGTAAGAAAGCATATGGAAGCAAAGAGTCATTGCAAACTGCATTATGGTGATGGTGATGATGATGAAGATGCTGAACTAGAAGAGTTCTATGACTACAGCAGCAGGTTTCAACTCTCTTGTATCTTTGATTTTTCTTGTTCTCACCTCTATTCCTCTTTCTATGCCAAATCTTAATGCACCTTCCATTGGAATCTATGAATTGAGCAGCTATGTTGATGAAGCTGGGAAGCAGATTGTTGTAGCTGGTGAAACAGACAACACTGTAGAACTTGTTGGGGGTTCTGAGCTCCTGATCACGGAGAATTCCGAGAACACAAAAACGTCTAAAACTCTCGGGTCCCGTGAATTCATGCGTTACTACAGACAGAAGCCACACCCAACTTCTCAAAACAGCAGCCAGATAATGTCCTCTTTATCTTCAAGGTTTGTTTTCTCCAAACCCATTAGTCATCCAAACCTATTAAACTAGCGAATCGGCAAGTTAATTTAAGGTTATTCTCACAAATGGCAAATTCTCAGGTACAAGAGTCTGGGTCTGAAGACGGTACCGTCAAAAGAGGAGACATTGAGGATGAAAGTGCGCAAGGAGATGAGTCAGAGAGGTGAGACAATGCGTACCAAGATCGGAGTGAAGAGTAATGTCATCAGAAACTTGCCCAATAATGTCCCATATTAGTTTCTGTCTATTGTCTAGTGTTGGATTGAATGATGATTTCATGTACTTTGAGTCTTTGACCAAGTTGTGTTGGTACTTTGGTAATAAGAGTTAGCTTTAAACAGAGTATGTTCACTGAAATAGAAAATGTTAAAATTGCTACACGAACGTTGACTTCTGATTTACTCTCAATATCTACATTGTTCAGAGATGCATGTAAAACAAAGAAGAGACCACGACAAAGGGTACTACAATATCCCAAAAAGGCTTTTAGTTTTGTTTTTGTACAAAGGCTGTGGCTGCGAGTAATGTCACAAGACAAACCTAAAATAAATTTATGTGTAGAAGGAAAAAGAAGAGAGAGAGGTCCAAAACCAAGAACACTGGCTACGAATAGGTTGGTCTGCTTCATTCGCTTCGCTTCATTTTCCAGCTGACTGAGAAAGAAAAGAAACATAAGAGATCCACAAGAAGATAGTACCAAAAGCATAGAAACAGAAAGTTAATTACCTAATTTTCATAGAAGCGGGTTCGACGCCTTCTTGAACTGCAAACCAGAAAAAATATGGCATCAAGCAATGTTTCTTAAGTAACCATCATATATAGCACAATAAAGCTACTAAACCAGGTCAACACCCTGAGCCACTATGCCAGAGATATCACACAATAGGACCTGATTTCGTCATTTAACCTGGCTCACCGGTAAGCCTCTAATATCAATGCAGAATAATCATATACTATGAAACTAAGAATGTACATCTCTGCAGAACGAAACAGTAACAAATTAGTGGTGTAAAGCAATAGATGGTTCTGACCTTTGGTGCATAGAGCTACTTCTGTTAGCTCCACTTGTGCTGATGAACTCATCATCGATCTCATCTACTCTATACTCCGGGAACTCTATGGATGCTACTGAGCTGTCATCAGAGTTGGAGTTTTCATAGCTAGAGCGGCGACTCCCTCTCCTGCTCTCGCTCATTCTTGATCTTCTTCGATTCCTGGCATTCCTTATATTGTCAAACATTTGGTACAGAATACAAGAGGTCCACCAGTTTCCTTCATTGTTAGGAACATCCTCAAATTCATCTCCAGTGTCATCATCTCCATATTCGATCACATAGTCCCCTAAAACCACTCCTCTTGGAACTTCGGAGTGAATTGTGCTCAACACGTCGATTATTTCAGACGACTGCTGGAAATTCTCCCAATCAAGCTTCCGTGCTGGATCAATTTCTGAAGGACGAGAATCCGGATGCTCTGACTGAGCATGTTTGCGAAGCTCCAAGTAAGTACCCATAAACCTGCATCTTTCTTCCTCACAGCAACGTTTTTTCTCATCAAGACGGACACGGGCTTCTTCTACAACAAGCCAGCCAGTAACTTCTCCTCTACACAGTGGACAAACGGGTTTGCAACTCTCTTCTAGAACCTTAGAGCGAGGTTCATCAGGGGCTGGAGGTGAATCAGTACCACAGGCGCTAATGAAACGATCCAAACAGTTAGAGTGAAGGTGATCAGTATTGCAGACAAAAGCACGGCAGCCGTTTTCGTAAGAAGAACACTGGAGAAGCACACCATTGTGAGGGAAATCCAAACAAATGGGACAAGTTAAATCATCCCAATTGAGAGTCAACTGAAACTCTTGGCTACAAAAGGTCTTAGCTTGAAGCCGCTTTTCACAAACATGTAGTTCCAGAGCCATAAGATCCGCAAAGGAAACAGATTATTCCAACTTATCGGGAAGGAACTAAGTATCTATAATCAGCAACCCTTGATGGAAGAAATCATTTCCCCGGAATCTGTTACTTGATAGTAGCTGCATATATGCATGTAAATAAGTATCCACAATCTTAAATCTGCTGCAAAAATATGAATGTAAAAAGACAATTCGATAAATGATAAAACCCCAAAACCAATACGATTCAGTCGCTGGTGAAACACGAAGAACCCAAAAGAGAGTGAGAATCGGATTCAAAATCAAACAATTTTTAGAAAACCGATCGCATAATCAAGAGCAGAAGAACCCTAGCCAAATTAGAAACGACAGATCCAAATCACCGAATTGGTAAGCAGTAAGCAAACGAAATCGAAGAAAAAGAGAACGAAATCGAAGAAGCTGACCTGAGATTGAAAGTTACAAAGGAAGTGGAAGAAGGGCGATGATGGGGTTTGCTTGTGGGGATAGTGTATCGCAGTTGGTAGCCTCCTTTTTCTCTCTCTCTCCTACTCTCTCTCAATCCCCATATCCATTTTTACCTTTTCAATACATTATTAGAGCTATTTTTAATATCATTAATATTATTATCTAAAATATTATGTGACGACTTTTTACTTTCGAGTTTCAAGTAATAAAATATGCTACAGGTTAGTCTTTCAAAAAAAGTACATATAAGGTCCGAATGGTAACCGCGGTTTTTGTTGTGCGGAGAAAGCGGTATGACAGTGCGGTACGGTTCAACTGCGGTACGTGCGGTATGCGGAACAAATGCGGTTTTTGTAAATAAGCGGTACGAAATAATGTTTGATTGGTAAAAAACAAAAAGCGGTGCGGGATATACATTGTAGTTAAATAATTTTAATTAAACATTCAAATATGTATATATATATATATATATATATTAAATAAAAAATTTCATAATAAACAATATGATACAACAGAAAAATATTTTTCGAATATTTTTTAACTAATTATTTAAATACATGTGGTTTTTTATAAATATTTTAAGTATTTAAACATAATTTAAATAAATATGGTGATACAATTATATATCATATATTTGAAAAAACCAATATGACAAAGAAATAAAACAAACCAAAAATAACATGTATAATTAAATAAATGGTTAATACAAGTTCTATTTTTTAAATTACACATATCTCTATAGACTGTAGATACCACATAACGCAAACACATCAAATAGGATGTGAATTTACTGTAGCGGGCCAACTACAATATTTACAAACAAAATTGAACCGCACTCACAACCCAAAAAATAAAAAGAAACGTCCCGCACTTGTAATATTTTGTTGATTGGTAACATATCAATGGGTCCCATGAAAAACGTCCCGCAGTTCTGAAATCCGCCGTCTCCATTCACCCCCTAAATTTGAATATTTGATTTGCAGCTGATGACTGGAAAATATTTTATTGTGATTTATGAGAAGAAAATTTCCTACATCTGATTTATAAACTTTTGTTTGTGGTTTATTTAATAGGGTTTGTTAGAATTATTTGAGCTATAATTTTCAATTCTATATCGAGTAAAAATGATTTTACTTTATATTTGTTAACTATTGTCTGAGTAACAAATATTTTGATTTAGGAAATAAATCAACAAATTCATCTTGCAAGCTTTGACTAGTTTTTATTGTTTTTCTTATGCTTTTTTTTTTAATTGGTTTGCTTGAATATCAAATTATCGAAATTAAGCAAAACTTCTTTTTTTCCACTTTCTTATTAAACTCGTTAAAATAAAAATAATAATAAATTTTTGACAAACAAAAGAAGATTGGAATTAAAAATTCTAAGTTTGTTGTATTTGACAGTTATTTCTTAGTGGAGTAATAATTCCCAAAAACAAACAAAAGATAAAGGGTAAAAACGATCGCTAAAATAGGGTCCGGGTAACCAGCCCATTAATTCAAATTGGGCTTAACTTAAGGCCCACGTGAAATAAATGGAAACTAGAAAAAAGGAAAGTTATGTTAACTAAAAAAAGGAAACTAGGCGTTACAAAAAAAAAAAAGGAAATCAGCCAGCTGGCACCGCCGTGAGTAGTGTTTTATAAAAAGGGGAAAGCTTATCAGAGAGAGTCAGAATTTGTTTTGCCTTCTTCTTTCTCTGTTTGTCATATTTCTCTCGATCGCTATATCATAACATCATAACGGAAGACGATTTGTAGAATGTAAGAATTCTTCCGATTCTCTTGATTTCTAGGGTTGTTTTATATTTTAACTATTAATCAGTTCTTTCTCTGTTTCGCATGTTTCTCTCTATCGGATCATTCATGATCGAAGAAGTTTTGTAGCGATAATCACTGTAAGAATTCTTCTCTCTTGATTTCTAGGGTTACTAAACTTCATTATTATCAGTTTTTTTTTTTTGTTCTGTTCTTTTGGTTTTCTGTTCGTTTTGAAGCGGCTTGGATAATTTGAAAACCAAACGAATCGCGACTCTGCGTTTCAAAGTTTTCTGAGAATTATTACAAGTTCGTTCTTCTTCTTTTTTTGTGTTACTTGATTCTGTTTAAGAGGGTTTGGTTTCCGTTTTTTGTTTTGCTTTTGTAGCGCTTTCGATACTTTGATAAAGCGTGAAATTGTTGCGATCGGTTGTGGTTTATTGCTCTGCGTTTTTCTGTTTTGTTTTTGTTAGATTTCTTCCTTGTTTTGTTTTTTTTTCAAAATCCAAGAGAGATCATATGCAGACACTCAACTATTAGTGTTCTGTCAGATTCTTTCTTGGGGACATTGTCCCGTCGAGTTGGCTTATGAGGGATTTTTGACCTGAGACTGAAAACCGATCCTTTACCCACGGCTTATTATTTTGACAAATATACTTGGGATTGGTTTCAGGTTACTGGTCAAAGATCAAGTTACCCACGGCTTAAAAAAGTCTTTAGACAGAGACTTGAGTTTCCAAAAAACCAATCCTTTAGACAAAACACTGGATTGGGTTATGTTTGGTGCAAGGAAAATGGTACCATACGGCTTAAAACTTTAGCCTTTAGACTGAGACTTGAGACTGAACATTGATCCTTCTTGGTACCCACGGCTTGAAAATCTCTAGACATATGGATCATGTTCGGTTTCTTGTTTCAGTCTATAGACAAAGAAATAGTTACCCACGGCTTAAAAAAAGTCTTTAGACAGAGACTTGAGGTTCTAAAAACCAATCCTTTCGACACAAGATTGGATTGGGTTATGTTTGGTGGAATGAAAATGGTACCCACGGCTTCAAACTTTAGTCTTTAGACTGAGACTGATTCTGAACTTTGATCCCTTCTTGGTACCCACGGCTTTAAAATCTTTAGACATATGGATCATGTTTGGTTTCTTGTTTCAGTCTTTAGACAAAGAACAGTTACCCACGGCTTAAAAAGTCTTTAGACAGAGACTTGAGGTTCTAAAAACCAATCCTTTAGCCAAAAGATTGGATTGGGTTATGTTTGGTGGGATGAAAATGGTACCCACGGCTTCAAAATTTAGTCTTTAGACTGAGACTGATTCTGAACACTGATCCTTCTTGGTACCCACGGCTTGAAAATCTCTAGACAATATGGATCATGTTCGGTTTCTTTTTTCAGTCTTTAGACAAAAAAATAGTTACCCACGGCTTAAAAATTGTCTTTAGACAGAGACTTGAGGTTCTAAAAACCAATCCTTTAGACACAAGATTGGATTGGGTTATGTTTGGTGGAAGGAAAATGGTACCCACGGCTTCAAACTTTTGTCTTTAGACTGAGACTGATTCTGAACTTTGATCCCTTCTTGGTACCCACGGCTTGAAAATCTTTAGACATATGGATCATGTTTGGTTTCTTGTTTCAGTCTTTAGACAAAGAACAGTTACCCACGGCTTAAAAAAGTCTTTAGACAGAGACTTAAGGTTCTAAAAACCAATCCTTTAGCCAAAAGATTGGATTGGGTTATGTTTGGTGGAAGGAAAATGGTACCCACGGCTTCAAACATAAGTCTTTAGACTGAGACTGATTCTGAACATTGATCCTTCTTGGTACCCACGGCTTGAAAATCTCTAGACATATGGATCATGTTCGGTTTCTTTTTTCAGTCTTTAGACAAAGAAACAGTTACCCACGGCTTAAAAAAGTCTTTAGACAGAGACTTAAGGTTCTAAAAACCAGTCCTTTAGACACAAGATTGGATTGGGATATGTTTGGTGGAAGGAAAATGGTACCCACGGCTTCAAACTTTTGTCTTTAGACTGAGACTTATTCTGAACATTGATCCCTTCTTGGTACCCACGGCTTGAAATGTTTTAGACATATGGATCATGTTCGGTTTCTTGTTTCAGTCTTTAGACAAACATCAAGTTACCCATGGCTTAAAAAAGTCTTTAGACAGAGACTTGAGGTTCTAAAAACCAATCCTTTAGACAAAAGATTGGATTGGATCATGTTTGGTTAAAGGAAAATGGTACCCACGGCTTCAAACTTTAATCTTTAGACTGAGACTGAGACTGAACATTGATCCTCCTTGGTACCCACGGCTTTAAAATCACTAGACATATGGATCATGTTCGGTTTCTTGTTTCAGTCTTTAGACAACAGTTACACACGGCTTTAAAAATGACGTCTTTAGACAGAGACTTGAGGGACAAAACACTGGATTGGGTTATGTTTGGTGCTAGGAAAATGGTACCATACGGCTTAAAACTTTAAGTCTTTAGACTGAGACTTGAGACTGAACATTGATCCTTCTTCGTACCCACGGCTTGAAAATCACTAGACATATGGATCATGTTTGGTTTCTTGTTTCAGTCTTTAGATAAAGAAACACCCACGGCTTAAAACATTATAAGTCTTTAGACAGAGACTTATAATTTTAAACAATGGAAACTTGTATAATAAATATACAAGACGATGTTAATCTAACCGGATTTTGGATCCCGTCATTGATCGTTAGCGATTCCACAAATTCAACTTGTTTTCACATCCTTATGTAGATTTAGCATACAAGTTTCTGTTGAAAAAAATAAATACAAGATTCTTATGTTGGTTGATGGAAAATGGTACCCACAGCTTCAAACTTTGGACTGAGACTTGAGACTGAACATTGATCCTTCTTGGTACCCACGGCTTGAAAATTTATAGACATATGGAACATGTTTGGTTTCTTTTTTCAGTCTTTAGAGTTTAGAGCATCCACAATGGTGCATGTGGGAGTATGGGTGTGAGTGGTGATTTATTAATAAAATAATGTAAGGGTGTGAAGATTGAGTGCTGATTTATTAATAAAATAATGTGGGAGTATGGGTGTGAGTGGTGATTTTTCTATGTCAAAAAATCGGAACCAACAAAACAAAGACACATGTCCCTCACAACCGAGTGTAAACTAACACTCGAATACCAACTCCAAACTTACTGTTCTCTTATTTGTGTATATTTTAATAGTCACACCCACACAAAAAATAGATCGTTGTGTATGGTCTTAGAGAAAGAAACAGTTACCTACGGATTAAAAAAGTCTTTAGACAAAGACTTGAGGTTCGAAATAACCAATCCTTTAGACAAAAGATTGGATTGGGTTATGTTTGGTTGAAGGGAAATGGTACCCACGGCTTCAAACTTTAGTCTTTACTCTGAGGCTTGAGATTCGAACATTGATCCTTCTTGGTACCCACGGCTTGAAAATCTGTAGACATATGGATCATCTTCGGTTTATTTTTTCAGTCTTTAGACAAAGAAATAGTTACCCACGACTTAAAAAAGTCTTTAGGCAGAGACTTAAGGTTCTAAAAACCAATCCTTTAGACACAAGATTGGATTGGGTTATGTTTGGTGGAAGGAAAATGGTACCCACGGCTTCAAACTTGGAAAATGGTACCCACGGCTTCAAACTTTTGTCTTTAGACTGAGACTTATTCTGAACATTGATCCCTTCTTGGTACCCACGGCTTGAAATTTTTTAGACATATGGATCATGTTCGGTTTCTTGTTTCAGTCTTTAGACAAACATCAAGTGACCCATGGCTTAAAAAAGTCTTTAGACAGAGACTTGAGGTTCGAAAAAAGCAACCTTTAGACAAAAGATTGGATTGAGTTGTGTTTAGTGGAATGAAAATGATACCCACGGCTTGATCTACAAGATGATGTTAAACTAACCGGATTTTGGATCCTGTCATTGATCGTTAGCGATTCCACAAATTCAACTTGTTTTTGCATCGTTACGTAGATTTAGCATACAAGAATCCATTGAAAACAAAAAACATACAAGTTTCTTATATTTTAAGAAAAGAGTTCCAATTTGTTTCCATACGTTTAGTTACGAAGCTTGTAAAAGGGTTCGTAGATGTGTGGATTAGTGTACAATTTGTATGAATACATGGTTCAATTTTTAAGATTAGAAAGATCAGTTAGGATCAAAGGAAGATTAAAGGGGATAATGGAAGATTCAAGATTGAAAGCAGAAAAGGAGAGGTCAATCAAAATAAAAGAATATATGTTGCTCTTTTTGTTTGTTATGGGATCAGCCAATCAATATTTCACCCACTTGCTAATATGTAAAAGACAGACAAAAAGAGTAACAGTGAAGATGATGGTTGTGATGTAATGAAATCTATGCCGTTTAAGAAAAGAGAGTATCAATTAGCTGAGCTTTGTAAACTAAGAATGAACAAGTTCCAAAATAATTAGATCCAAAAGATCTTCCAATGGAGCTTGGTTGTGAAAATGCTAACTGAGATTTCTCCAACATGCACCCATTGTTGCAAAAGCTTTCCCTGCGATTTTATACAAACATACAAACAAAATGTCACCATAATGTATGAATGTTTGTTCACCACGACAATGGTTTTAGGTTCTTTACCTCGTGGTATCGAGTAACCATGTGGCTATGCCTTTTCTTCTGTTAGAAGGTGAGACCCAAATCGCTCTAATCCCACAAACAGCCGGTTTAGCTTCTTCCTCGCATACTATTGCTCCGCAGTCTAATCTATCATCTGATGCTCGACATCTTTTAGATACTTCTCTTTGTAACACAATGTTTCCAAACTGAATGGAGGTTGAAGGCGAGGAGGTGCTCTCTTTTTGTAACTGTCTTTCATCATCAGGAGAAGGTATGAGCTTAAATGCTTCCTTAATTGGTTCTGCAACTAGACATCCAGAGATCCTCTGAGAGGATATGAATAGATAAACCTACACATAACAAGGTAGTTCTTGAAATAACTGAGGAAAGTAATTACAGGTTATATCATCTTTCTTGTGAATTTGTTGAATGATGCCATATAAAGAAATTAAAGAAACTCCTCTTTTCAGGGAATCAGATTTCTTGTTTGATTTCAATGCTAGTCATAGACATGGAAGGAATCAGACTAAGTCGAAGTTTTCCTCTTTTAAGTTGACCATAGTAGAGCAAGTATTCACCATGCTTCCCAACAAGTTGTATCAAATGCCAATTGGCTCAATATAGTAGACATCAACATACTAAAAAACACTCATGAGCTATGGAATATATCCGCAAATGACTGTTAAGACGTGGAAACAGGCTCATACCTTACAATGTTGGTGAAGAATCCAATCCTCACCTAACTCGACTTCCATCATTTTCACAACCTCTTGCACCTGCAATTACAAAAGATCCATCGTTTAGGTCCTCTAAACGAAGAACCGGTACCATAAACAGGGCAAGTTGAATTGTGAAAAGAATGGACCTTGTTTCTATGTGCAGGGGAATCATTTTCTGAAACCATAATGATGCGGTTCTTGTTGAACGAAGGCGATGTGAACGCTTTCTCGTTCTGCCAACCCTGAGACCAATTCAAAAAAAACAACAATCAATCTAATAACCTCTACAATAATCAAAGAAACAGCTATCTTCTTGAGCTTAAAATGGGATCCTAACCTTAAAAGGGAGTCCATACATATAGTCCTTGTGAAAACTTTGATGGTTCTTCTCGTCTAATTCATCTCCAGGAGCATACTTAGCTCCACATTGTGGGCAATGTCTGAGAAGAAAATCAGATTGGCCCAACTCTAAGTGGAATTGCGTATAATTGCGCTTCTTTTTGAGATTTTTAGGTACAGAGGAAGATCCTTTCTTCAGTGGCTTCCCGATGCATCCTTTAAGCACTTGACTTCTGAATACCCAAAAATAAGTGACACACAAACAGAAACCCAATTAATAATGGCTGCAAGATTAAATCAAAGGGATTTGCTTTAAGAAAACCCAGAAAATCAGGGTCGCTTATTTTCGATTCATCTGAAGAAAACAAATAATGTAGAAATTCTCGAAGAACCTAAAGAGAAGAAAAACCGCCAAAGATGATCGATTTACCTATCGGGAATCGCAGATCGACGCTGGTAGGTGTTGACGATGGCGTTCCGATTGTTCTCCCAGACAGCTAAACCATCGTCTGCGTCTGTTGTTACTGAGGCAGCGATAGAAGAAGAAGAGGGCTTGAAGAAAGAATTGATTTTTGCTTGCATCGTACAGAGAGAGCTCGAATCCTTCTTAGGTCTGTGTTTGTTTTCCCCTTTACTTCTCTGATTTTGGCGCCTATGGATTGAATTTTTTGGCGCTAATGAAATTTTTTTGTTTTTTGCCGATTCCTACCTAAACTTATGTAAACCAAAGAAACCAGAAAATGACATTGGATAATTGATGGGCCATTTTGTGTAATTGCATAACTCAAGATCATTCCAATTTAGTTCCAACGCCATAAGTGGAAAAATACGGCATGTGAGGCCAGGAGACAATTCATTCGAGTCCAGATTGTGAATCAGTGTTGTGTTGTGAGAACATTACAGCTTTGATTTGATGACGTCGATTGATGTTTGGATATCCAACTACATTAGACAACGTCCAAAATAAAAAAGAGCAGCAAGTGAAGTATAGTTTGTGTGTGTTTTTTATATAATTACATGTATGGATTGGTGTATAACAACAATGTGTGCATCGATATTAATCTACGCTTTTCTTCTCCATCTACTCCCTGTACTATATTTACCTCTTTCCTCTTCAAAAAGAGCCAAAAAAAGTAAGTGAGAAGCCGATTCATCATCTGTCTGATAACACCGAGTTGCTCCATGACAACACAAAATCTCGGAAAACATTCGGTAAATCTGCATTCAAAACACAAGGAACCAAATTCTTCAGAATCATACAAAACTACTTGCTAACTGCTAGCTAAATCAATGGCCCAAGGTGAAATTTTTGCCCATCGGTGCTTTCATGTCTTGTTATGTTAAGAATGCATATCTGTGATAGTCTTTTCTCTCCACAAGGCTTTATTTGGTGCAAAAGCTTTTATTATTTGAATGATAGATGAAGACAAAATTAAAAGAAAGAAAGCAAAATGGGGTTTTCCCTTTCTATTACCTCGCACGACTTCCATGGCCAGTGTGGGAATATCTACTTCGTCTTCAACCAATCTGTATACGTCCACAAGCTGAAAGAACAAATGTAAAGTTAGTGCTTTAGAGTGTCAATGGGGATGATAAGTGCTACAGATATAAATCTGGTTGACGTGAGATGTATGAACAAACCTCTTCTACGTGAAGCTTCGAGTCCTCTGTGAGCGCAAGAATAAGTTTCCTGCGGATGCCTTCGTCAAGGAGGAAAAGACGAGCTCCGTCCTTAATGGTATCTGTCAAGTCAAGCTTACTCTCCCTGAAAGTTTCATGAGTAAAATACGGATTTAGAATTCAAGCTTCCCAGGGTGAACGAGTGAGAGATTTTGGGAGCAATGCTTATATAGAACTCGGTTACTTACACACGCTTTACTCGTAGATTAGGATTGCTACTCATTTTGGCAACGTTTTCCTTTGCAAGTGATAAAAGGTTTTCCAGCCTTTTCCATTGGAAAACACCATCTTTGAATAGAACCTGAAATGCGGTGGCAACAAGAGCTCTGATTTCAGCTGATGCGGATAACAGTTCACCATAGCATATATGAAACTAAATCAGAATTATCAATCAACCTGTATCAAGCGTTCCCGAAGTGCAGGATTTGGATCCGTTAGGAGCCGTTTTGCTACATATGGATAAGCAACCTAGATAAAAAGTTAGCTTTTAGTGTGGAAAGGGAAATATGGGTGAACATATAGCTAGTGTCTGCTCACTTCAGGATTTACATGTCAGCTAAATCCTAAATTTGAAAAGAAAAAAATCAAAATATTAAACGTGACTTCACCTCTAGAAATTTAAAATCAGGCTTCAGCGTGAAACATATACCCTCCTGAGTAAGCAGAGAACGAATAACAAGAGAGAACCGCTCCGGGATACGGATGGGAAAGTCGTACACAAGCTTGTTAAATTGGCCTGCAATGAAAAACGTGACACCATTTCTTCATATGTGCAAGGGGTGCTCAGTAAACAAAAGAAACTTGCTTAAGGAAAGCAATCTATCAAGTACCTGTAACACTACGGAAATTGAAATCTGCAAGTCCTTTCCCTGCAGAGTTCTGCCATATGGCTTCTAAAGCTGGAACGATAGGAGAAACATCAGTATCCTTGGCCAAGAACCCAAGCCTAGTGAAATCATTTGCCATCTCCCCATAGTCCTCATTAACCGCATGGACAACAGCATCAATCAAAATTTGCTTGTTTTGCTGAGAAAAAAAAAAAGATTTACTTTGGACTATGAATAACAAGTCTCTATATACAGATGTGATAATCACTATAGGAAGGGACATAACCTAGCTACTAAAGGTTACTAGATACCGTGGAACCATTAAACTCAAGTTACCTGACTCAGTACAGCAACATTACCGAAGTCCACATAAGCAATACGCCCATCTTGCATTGCAAAGATATTTCCAGGATGTGGATCTCCATGGAACAATCCAAATTCTAACAGCTGCCTTAAAGCAGCACTTACGCCAACAGTCAAGAATCCATTTAAATCAATCCCCGCATCCTTGATGGCCTGAGTACATTTAGTAAGAGTCAGTATCAGAGTGGACTTTAATTTTGACTTTTTAGGAGGGTATAGAGGAAATTTATGTTGGCCCCCTTTTTGAAAGTCAACCTGTGGGTCAGTGCACCGAATACCATCAATCCACTCCATTACCAGAACCCGAGGACCACAAAGATTCTTGTATACTCCAGGAATTTTGACTGTGGGGTCATCTTTGAAGTTCTCCAGAAAGTCTTCAATGTTTCTGGCTTCCTGTAGGCAAGAACTTAAGGTTAACCAGGATTATATAAAGACTCATCATTTCAGATCATCAACACAGAAGAACGCATAGAGTGAAATTGAGAAGTATATGAGATACCAAGGTGTAGTCAAGCTCCTCCAGAAGCTTTTCTCCAAATTCATCAACTATTAGCTCTGCGTTGCAACCCAGTTTCTGTAGACTAAAGCCATTTAAGAATGAGGCGAGGGTTCGGAAAAGAAAGAGATCCCGGTAAATTATGGGCTCTATTTGTGGTCTCTGCACCTGCATATGCATAAAAAAAAAATGTCAAATCCAACCTTTAAAACAGTTTCAGTTTGATAAGCCTGTATGAACTCTGTAGCCACAGTATAAGTTTCCATTTAGAAGAACCTTGATAGCAACATCCTCTCCAGTGGCACGTAGAGTAGCTCGATAAACTTGTCCCAAGCTTGCAGCTGCTATTGTTTCTGAAGAAATCTTGCTAAATATGGCCTCAAGAGGTTGGCCTAACTCTTCCTCGATGATATTGAAAGCAACCTACAAAGTCCTTCACCACTTAGCTTCACACGACAATGGCAAATGATAATAAGAAAAATATCTTGCTCTACAAATTCCCCAAAAAGATAAGACATTTTACCTCGTTGGGGAATGGAGGAACATCATCTTGGAGAATGCAGAGCTCGTTCATGTAGTCTTCACGGATGATATCAGGCCTATTTGCCAGAACCTGCCCCCCCCATGTAACAGATATTAGAGAAGATAACTTTGAGAACCCGGTTAATGCCATTTTCTAACAAATAAGATGGATCCACATACTTGTCCAGCTTTGATAAATGAAGGCCCCAAGTTGCACAAAAGGTTCCTAAGCTGGCGAGCACGAAAGGGGACAACTTCCTCGTCCCTTCCAACCAAAAAATCATACATTAAGGTAGACCAATACAACCCAAGAGTCCAAACAATCTCCACACCCCTTGAAACTAGAGAGACGACTGCTCCTCTTGATTCCAGCACTTTACTCCTCACCTGATCACCAGTAAATTCCAATTCAAACAATCAACAACAACATAGATTCCACCTAAGACACAAGACTCAAGTAAATGCCAAGAAGAACCAGCTCAATAAGTGAATCAACAAATTGCAACAGAGCTAAAAGAAATTGAAATTGACTGAAACTAACGCATAAATCGAGCTAGAAACAGAAACAGGTTAAAGAAGCAAATCATACAGTCTCCGGAGAATACTTTCGGAATGGAACGCAAACGCCTCGCTCGATATCCAGCTGCTCAAGCGCGGAGTTCGATTTCCCTACTCGAATACCTCTCTCCACCCCGCTCATCGCCGTTGTCATTACCGAAGCATCCGTCGAATTTCGACCACCAACATCCGTCGCCGCCGCAGTAACTGAAAAATTAGAAGTCCGTACAGCCGAGAACGTCCTGCTCCGCCGCAACTCCACGGCGTTGAGAGATCGCAAAAGAGCATCTCTCCGATCAAGAAGAGCGCGATTTATTCTCCGATGACGCTGATTTAAGGAGAAATTAGGGTTTACTAAACTATTGCAGTGGATTGACTCCATGGATGATGAGCTACGGAGGATGATGAGCTACGGAGAAGCGAACAGTGGATACGTTTCCGTTGGACGACAAACTATTAATTACCGAAAATGGAATAAATCGACTACCAACCACATAAGATAATAATTATTTTTTGTTTTTATCTTTTATTTCCTGGAAAGTAAAAGAACCTTATCTTCAAAAAGCCACAATAGATGTAATCTGTAGCAAATCGACCCCAAAACTTTTTGTTGTTTCTTTCTACATCCCACTTTTTTTTTTGTTGGTTTGTATACGATACGTGATAGTATTTGGCGTCAAGCAGAGAAGAAGCTGCGATCGAGGAAAGTCTTGTGTGGCCAAGAAAGGTGCAACGTTTTGGCAACTAAACAATACATGTTCGTATGGTAATTGACTACTTACAATTGAATGAATGATATTATACCAACGGATACTAATATTTAACAACAAAATTACCATTATTAATTTGATAATTAAAACTTTTTTTTTTTTTTTTTTTTTTTTTTTAAATATTTTATTAAAACCACCCTAACGGGCTTGGGCCGAAGCCTACACACAAACCAATCCAGTTACAAAAAGGTAAATCGGCATCTCGCCGGAAAAAGAAGAAAAGCTCGCCCCTTGTTGATAGACGCTCGTAGAGCAACCGGAGCCTTAAATCTGGCAGATTCAAGACCCACCGCTTCGTGGCCGCGTCAGAAAATCGACTACCACCGACGGAAGAATCTGGTTTCCGTCAGAAGAGTCTCTCCTCCGACGCACCAACCCGCCACAAGCCTCCCAGAAAGCTAGTCACTCCAACGCAGCGCATCGACGGAGTCGGATCCCGACCTAGCAACCCGACCCACTGGGAGGTAACCCTTTTCTCCCAAAACCGGTAACACCAAAAAACCTGAATCTTCACGCATCGATCCGGACCGGTGGAGACCAGAAGCGGCGGATCTAGAGAACGTTGGCTCGCCGTGAACCTCTAAACCCGAACCCCGCATCAGCCCTCTAAGATCCAAACAGATCCACAGCTAACCACCGCGTCGGACAACGAACCCCCCTTATCCCCTCCAACTTCCGCCGTGGACGCAGCAACTAGATCGACGGGTGAGCCTGAGGCGCATTGCAGCATCTCCCGGCGTCCTCAACCGCGAGACCACCGCTGCAAAACTCCTCATCCGTCAGAACCAGGGCCACAACCACATCAGAGAGGAAACACCACACCGCCGTTGACGGAGATACGCTCCGACTCACTCCTGGACCGCCTTGGAGAAGCCTCGAACCGAAGATTGAAGAGCAGAACGGAACGAAAGAACCCTAGATCTGGTTGCCGGAAATCGTCTTCAAGAGAGAGAGAAATGCACAGCTATCGAGGCAACGATTGGGCCGTATCTCTTGATAATTAAAACTTACTCGAATCTTTTTTTAGGTTTTATAACAATGATATAAGTAATGAAAATATTTTGTAAATTAAAATGACTTCAGGTTCGTATTCTTATACCATTGATATATCCCACTACAATTACAAAGTGTGGGTGGCGCCATTTCCTCTAATACTCTAAACGTACGGTCCCAGAGGAATCTCTTGTCCTCAAAAAAGTCAACGATTACTTAGAAGGACTTCTTTTGCTTTCATTCATGTATGATCATGAAAATTAGTTCAATTTCTTATCGTAAATCAGGATTCTGCACCTGTTTTCTCTATGTATTTGTAGTTTGTTCATTGTTCTGCCTCCGTCTTAGATTGTTCTATGTTTTTCTCATATACATTTTCCTAGGTTCACTAATGTCATCTTGATTCAGATTTTCCAAACATTATCATCACCTTGCTTGAAAAAATGTCTCTGTTATCAAACTTAAATAAGATGCTTAGTCATTCGAAGTTTGAATCACAAACATTATAATAGTGTCTTGTGTAAGAAAATGTTATGTTTTTATCTAGAAGAGTAGAGCATTTCTCTAACGCTTGCGAGCGTCGACAAACACAGTCTATATAGGTTAATACACCAACGAACAATAAGAACCACTCTTATAGAAACCGCCTGTTTTACATGCATGCTCTACAAATTAATCTAAGCTTTATCAGATATGTTCACGTTAGCATTTAGGGATTGTACCGTCGATAAACCCTAATTTGTTGTGAACATTTAACGCCATCCTCACAGATCTGCATTATGCGCCATGAGTGAAAATCAGCTCCAGTTGTGAGACGATCTACTACAAGTTGCAATCCAGCATGATCTGAGGTATGTAGAAAGAACGGATTATCATATTGATCAAGATTCTGTCGATTTAAATCACAGTGAGCTTGAGACGGAGGATGATTTCCAGAAATTGCATCAAGAAACGATGGACGAATTGGTGTTAATCCCATTTTGTGTGAATCAAACGATGAAAGAAATTACTCCAAAGAATGATTGAAAGAGGAAGAATCGAAAGCAATAAGGTCAAGAAAAAACGAAGAAAGAACTCAGAAATCATCTACGAACACGAATTGAAGAATCGCAAAGACGATGATGCAACAGAAATCGAAAGAAGAAAAGAGAAGATGAATGATCGGAGAAGCAATCGAAGAAGCGCTCATGATCGAAGACGCTTTGATACCATATCAAGATCTTCTCCGTAACAAACTAAAGGAGAAGAAGAAGATGAAGATGAATAACAGAAATTAAAATTGCTAATTTTCTCATTAATCACAATGTATTACAAGGTTTAGTATTTATATATGACTATACTCTGATGCTAACATACACATTAGTAAAATGCTAACGTGTACTATATTGAATATCTGATAAGCTTCGTTTTGATATCATCTACTTATTAAAAATTTAATGTCATTCTCCATGATTTATTTATAGGTCACCGTAAACATTGATTCACACAAATATAAAACGATATTCCAAGAACTAAACATAAAACATGTAATTTCCATTATGTGGATTCTAAATCTGAAATAACGATTATTGTGCGTTAAGTGTAGAATAAGTGGTGCCATTAAAATGGTGAATAGTGTGATAAATTAGCTTTTCAACCAATTTTCCTTAGCAATTAGGATAACAAGGAAAAAGAAAAAGAAAAAAAAAAACTAAGATAGCTAGCAAGGATAAACAAACAAAAGTAATTATTTTCCACGTAAAATGTGTCACACATAAGTTTAATTTCTTAAAACAAAAATAAAAATCCAATGGGGCGTTTTCTTAATATGTTTGATAACCATATTACTGAAATTAAAATCTCATTTGTAAGAAAAAAGTGTGTCGGATGAATTGGGTTAATTTAGCTGAGTACATAGTTCAAAAAAAAAAAAAAAAAAAACTGTAAGTAAACCAATAGACAAATAACGATTCTGGACGATGGGATTTGCTAAAATTCTTTGGCAGAAAGCTACATATCCCTTGAGAAATCAATAACTCCCATAATGTCATTAAAAAGAAGATGAATAAAAAGAGGTCCCGAATATAAAGACCGTGTGAGAGACGAAGAAAAGAAAGGATATGGTGCGAATTTATTTGGGAAAAAGAAGAAGTGACGACGTGGGGGTAATGGGCAATGGGGAATCGACACGTGCCCACACATTCCGTGTAAAAAAAGTTTTTTAGGTGTCACGTGCGCCCATCATATGAATCTATGACAAAGTGGGGAAATGAGCAATGGGGAATCGACACGTATGAAAGTTGGGTAGAGAAGTTGGGAATGTCACGTGCGCCCATCATTTTATCCGTTTTTCCCAAACCTTTGGGGGCCCTTCTCTAATTGTATACCTTTTGACTTTCCTTCTTTAGATTTTGGTCGTACTTGAAAATTATATTTATATCATATATACGTGTAAAAAAAAAAAAAAAATTATATCATATATATATATATTGTTTTAATTTGTATACATTTTTTTTTTAATCAAACGATCTAAGAAAAAAAAAACTTAAAAAATTAGATAATATGACTATGATTTTAAATTTTCTAAAATTTATTAATTTCCCATGTTACTTGTTCGATACTCAAATATGTGATGATCAATCAATTGATTATCAAAAAATTTACAGCTAGTAGACTGTTGTTTGAAATTTTTTGTTCTAAAATTGATTGCAAAAACTTAACTGTAGTTTTTCTTTGTGATACTCATTACTGGTTTTAAAAAACAACAAAACATTAGTATTTTTCCATGGAAAATGGTTTAATCCCTTAATTATATTCATAATAGTTTTGGTTAAAAAATACTAATCGAGCTGTATACGAATAGTATGTCAAAAAAATTTGGATAGAACAAATTTGTTCACATATTATGTATATCTGCATTTCATGAGTATATTTGATTTAATTATTTACTTATATTCCAGGCATCATTTATATTATTTGGCTGACCAAATTATGATATATATTCTTTTCCGATCGATTCCATATCTCAAGAGAAGTTGACAACATGATACAATTTCATTAAAATCACAAAATAATACAAGTTATTAAAATTGCTATAGCTTGAACCCACCCCAATCGACCAAGACAAAACACGTACATTAAATGCATGTGAAGTAAAATAAACCAAGAACAAAAACACTCAACGACAAAGTAAAAACCTGCATATATATACATGATAGATATATCATCTGCGGCGATGATCGGGAAACCATAATGAACCAGTTTTTGGATGATCGACTACTACATGTCTCGGACATGGAAGACGTTAGGGTTCTTGACGACGATATCATACATATGAATAGAGTTAAACTTGGAGAAGTCACGAGGGAGAGAGATGAGATCGATCGAAGTTCTCTTGTGGAACTGGAGCAGATGATCGGTGTTGTCTCCACTGTAGTACCTCTCCCACCCAAGATTCTTCAAGATCTTCTCAAGTGATCCGTACGAAGAGACAACCTCGCTGGTCGGAAGATGGACGAGAATTTTCCTCCTCATCCTCTGCTGCTGGTTACCACCGGAAGAGGATGATTCCGACGAATCTCCGGCGGATTGGTTGTAAGGATTCTCCACCAGCCTCATGACTCCGTTTTTGTTGAACACCCACACACCAGACATTGTTGATGTTGTTATCTATTTATGATTTTACGAGCTAGCTAGCTATAGGGTTTTTTTTTTTTGGGT